GGGGACTCCTGTCTTTTTCATCCCTGTATCTACAGTACCTAGCACAGGCCTTGGCCCATACTTGATGCTCAATAAATATTTTGTTGAATGAATGAATTAATGAGTAGCTGGATATGGGTAAGGGGGAGCAGCACCCAGAATTGTGGGTGTCTACAGGAATGTAGAGGGTTTTTTGGAGGTTTTGAAATTCGACTGCTTAAAAACAAAGTCTTCTTTTATTACTACTGTTGTTAGGAAAACAATGTGTGGCCAGGCGTGGTGGCTCACACCTGTAATCCCAGCACTTTGGGAGGCCAAAGTGGGTGGGTCACCTGAGGTCGGGAGTTCAAGACCAGCCTGACCAACATGGTGAAACCTTGTTTTTACATATTAAAAAAAAAGGAAAACAGTGTGTGTTTGTGTGTATGTGTATATACACACAAACACACACACATATATACACACACACATTGTTTTCCTTTTTTAATAAATATGTGTGTGTGTGCATATATACATGCACACATATATATGTAAGGTAAGCAGTGTGTATACATATACACACAATAGTAGAGCAAGATGGAATGAAATAATTTTTCCATCAGAACTTCAAAGACATTGCTCCACTGATTTTTGGCACGTCAGTTCTTGTTCCTCTGTAGGAAACTGCTTCCCCCCGCATGTGTGCGCACACACACACACACACACAGACACACACATTTTTCTTTCGTAGCTTTACTTAGCGAAGATGTAAAAACAAGTATATTTATGTGGAGGACTTGCTGTTCTCACTTTAAGGAACAGATGAGAGTTGGGATTGCCAAGAATCTAGGAACTCTTGATTTGAAAGGCAAACAAAGACATCCTGAAAGCTCTTTGCATTGCTTGGTCAAACACATAACTCAGTGTACAATGAACTAGACCTGGGAATGGTTCCGATTCTCCAAGTGTGGAGTCCAAATCAAAGTGGGGTTTTCATTCTTGCTGTGAGTGGAGAGCTGGTCTCAGACCGGATCTGCCTGACTGCCTGCATTTCCTGCACTACCTTCCTTTCTCACTTCTTGTTCTCACTTTCATTTTCCTTGTGTACAAGGGAGTTTCTTTGCTTTTCAAAGACTCTGTTTTCTTTTCCATGCTGATGGTACCCAGCTTTGGGGGGGCTCCTGCAGGATGAATTGGAATCAAGAATGAAGCTCAAGCTCGGTGTCTGGCACTTAGTAAAGGGCTCCATACCCAGAACCTGTTCTTATTGCCTTTCTTTTTGTTTTGTCTGGTTTTCCTCATTTGCTTATTTTAAAGTTTATTTTTAGGCTCTGCACATTGGCTTATACCTGTAATCACAGCACTCTGGGAGGCCTAGGTGAGTGGATCACCTGAGGTCAGCGGTTTGAGACCAGCCTGGCCAACATGGTGAACCCTGTCTCTACTAAAAATACAAAAATTAGCTGGGTGTGGTGGTGTGCACCTGTAATCCCAGCTACCGGGGAGGCTGAGGAAGGAGAATTGCTTGACCTTGGGAGGTGGAGGTTGCAGTGAGCTGAGATCATGCCATTGCACTCCAGCCTAGGTGACAAGAGCAAAACTCCATCTCAAAAAAAAAAAGTGGTTTTTATAGTTTTAGTTACTTACTTGTTTTTCTGAGACAGGATATCACTCTGCTGTCCAGGCTGGAATGCAGTGGCATGATTTTGGCTTACTATAGCTTTGACTTCCCAGGCTCAGGTGATCCTCCCACCCCAGCCTCCTGAGTAGCTGGGACTACAGGCACATGCCACCACGTCTGGCTAACTTTTTTGTATTTTTTTGTAGAGACAGGGGTTTTCACCATGTTTCTCAGGTTGGTCTCAAACTCCTGAGCTGTAATGATCTGCTTGCCTCAGTTTCTCAAAGTGTTGGGACTACCGATGTGAGCCGCCACACCCAGCCAGTTTTATCTTTTCATATTTTACTTTTGTGAAACCACCTTAAATCCCTTCTGGAATAAGGTGTGGGAGGGTAAAAACACAAATAAATCAATGTTGCTTGATTGTAACTTTTGAGTTGTGACAAGCTTGCTTTTAAATTATGAAAAATAGCCAGTCATTTTGTACCTGTCTGTGCTGAGCACTTTATTTTTATCATCTTAATTATTTGTAAAGTCCTCTGCAGTGGATGTGCATCCTATAAGCGAGGAAACAGGCTCACATGTTCAAGCTGCTTCCTCAACTTACCATATTAGTGAGAGGCTGAGCTCCAATTTGAACCCCAAAACTATCAAGCTTGTATTTTCACTGCCTCACCACCTGGCCTCCTCATCTCCCCCACCACTTCCAAAAAAAAAGGAGAGAGAGAAAAACACAAAATAAAGTTCTTTTTGGCAGGATGTAGAATTGAGAATTCTGTGGAACACTTGAGATCATAGATGATATCCCAGTGTATGAAAAAAGAACCTTTACTCTCTGGATGCAGTGGCTCAGGTCTGTAATCTCAGCACTTTCGGAGGCTGAAATGGGAGGATTGCTTGAGCCCAGGAATTTGAGAGCGGCCTGAGCGATATAGTGACTTTGTCTCTACAAAATAAAAGTTTTTTAAAAAAGTCCAGGTGTGATGGCTCACGCCTGTAATCCCAGCACTTTGGGAGGCTGAGGCTGGTGGATCACTTGAGGTCGGGAGTTCAAGACCAGCCTGACCAACATGGAGAAACCCTGTCTCTACTAAAAATACAAAAAAAAAATTAGCTGGGTGTGGTGATGCATGTCTGTAATCTCACTACTTGGGAGGCTGAGGCAGGAGAATCGCTTGAACCCGGGAGGTGGAGGTTGCCCTGAGCCGAGATCACGCCATTGCACTCCAGCCTGGACAACAAAAGTGAAACTTTGTCTCTCTCTCTCTCTCTCTCTGTCTCTCTTTTGCTCCCTCTCTCCATATATATATATATTAGCTGAGTGTGGTGGTGCATGCCTATGATCCCAGCTACTTGGGAGGCTGAGGTGGGAGGATCGCTTGAGCCTTGGGAGGCAGAGCTTGCAGTGAGCCATGATAGCACTCCAGCCTGGGTGACAGAGTGAGACACTGTCTCAAAACAAAACAAAACTCTTCCTACCTTATTAATTTGTTTATACACCAAACATGTATTTAATATATCTCCTGTTAGTATCAGATCAGGGGATTCAGTGACGAACAAACCAGTGTGGGAGTATATAGTCTGGTGGGGAAGATAGGTTTTATTCAAGTAACTGCATGCATATGTAATCAGATAATTGCAAACATAGGTATTTCACTTTGGTGACTATTAAGGAAAAGAGCATTCAGTTATAGGTTTAGCAGAGGATTTGATCAGCTAGGAGTTTAGAGTGTCAGGGAGGTCTCTCTGGGGAAAGTGAATCATGGACTGAGATACAAATGATGCATGAGTGGTAACTGGGTGAAGCTAGGTAGGGAGAGGCACAGCATGTGCAAAGGGCTGGGGGTGGAGGAGGACACTGCATTCAGGAAGTGAAGGAGGCTGGTGTGGTGAGACACAGAATGAGGCAGAGGGTCTCAAGGCGAGTCTGGCAGGAGGCTAGTTTTCCTAAGGGCTGGAAGAATGTGGTAACAAGGTTGGCTTTTGCAAAGTACCAGGAAGCTATTGAAAGTTTTACTCAAGGCATTGGTATCATCTGATCTGCACCCTGGCCACTGTGTGGAAGAGGCATTGTAGAAGTAAAGGTTTGCAGAAGCCACTTAGGAGGCTACTGCAGAGGGCCAAGGGACAGGTGGCGATGCCACAAGGGCACAGAGTGGACAGATGTTTTGTTTTCCCAGTGGGCAGGGCTTGGTGATACATTGGGGGAGAGGAGAGAAAGAGGGTTTGGATGGGCCAGGAATTTCCAGGAAGGTAGAGTGAGTCATTTGGCTTTGAAGACTCAAATAGTGTTCAGAGCTAGACTTGGGTGACAGCAGTTTTGGGCCAGCAGACAACACACTTACACTTGAATCCTTTCAGTGCTGCCTCATTGTTTAAGCAGCAGCCACAGAGAATATGGCAAAATATCCACTCCTCGGGAGTGTGTGGCTGAAACCTGGGATCCTAGAATCCCAGGGCTGGAATCTCTCCCACCCCCAGACCTCCTGGCTGCTGACCAGTGGCTCACGGGGCCTTGTACTGTGGTGCAAGGAGATCTCCATCTGTTTGCCCAGTTTCTCTACTTGGAACTGCAGGCAGGCAGGTTTGGCCTTGTGCTGCTGCAATTCCTCACTGGGCTTGAGGGGATTTTAGTCCAGACCTTTCCCTCCAGCTGGTCTCATGGTCTGACCTCATTTCACCCTTGGAAGGCAGGAGCTATGGTAGCTGTTGTGAGCAGCCTGAGTTGATGCATGATTTTTGAGGGAATAAACATGTAATTTATGCTTTTGAAATGCCGAGTGAGTTGCAGCTGTATGTAGGCGGGATTACCAATAAGTGAGTGTATTAGTTTTCTATTGCTGCTATAACAAGTTACCACTAACATAGTGGCCTAAAACCATGGATTAGGGCTAGGTGCAGTGGCTCACGCCTGTAATCCCAGCACTTTGGGAGGCCGAGGCAGGCAGATAACATGAAGCCAGGAGCTCGAGACAGCCTGGCCAACATGGCGAAACCACATCTCTACTGAAATATAAAAATTAGTCCAGCACAGTAGTGCATGCCTATAATCCCAGCTACTTGAGAGGCTTGGAAGAATTGCTACAAGAATTGCTTGAACCTGGGAGGTGGAGGTTGCAGTGAGCTAAGTTTGTGCTACTGCACTCCAGCCTGAGTGACAGAGAGAGACTCTGTCTCCAAACAAACAAACAAACAAAAACTCACCACAGATTTGTTATTGATTGATTGAATGACTGATTGAGATGGAGTTTTGCTCTTATTGCCCAGGCTGGAGTGCAATGGTGCGATCTCAGCTCACTGCAACCTCTGCCTCCCAGGTTCAAGCAATTCTCCTGCCTCAGCCTCCCAAGTAGCTGGATTACAGGTACCCACTACCACACCCAGTTAATTTTTATATTTTAGTAGAGATGGGGTTTCATCATGTTGACCAGGCTGGTCTTGAACTCCTGACCTCAGGTGATCCACCCGCCTTGGCCTCCTAAAGTGCTGGGATTACAGGTGTGAACCACTGTGCCGAGCTGGATTTCTTATTTTATAGTTCTGTAAGTTAGAAGTCTGACACTGATCTCACTGAGCTGAAACCCCCAAGTTGGCAGGACTGTGTTTCTTTCTGGAGGCTCTGAGGAGAATCCATTTCCTTTCCTTGTCCAGCCCCTTGGGGCCACCCACATTTCTTGGCTCATGGGCCTCTCCCTCCATGGTCAAAGTGAGCGATGCCACATCCCTCCGTACCTTTCATCCATAGTCATGTCTCCCTCTGACTCTACCTCTGTCCCCCTCTTCCATGTTTAAAGTTCCTTGTGATTTCATGGGGCCCACCCAGATGATTCAGGATAGTCTCCCTATTAAAGGCCAGCTAATGACCCCCCTACTTCCATAGCCATGGAAGGCAGCATATTTATAGGCTCTGAGGATTAGGGTGTGGATGTCTTTGGGGCCATTGTTCTCCTACCTCAGCCTCCTGAGTAGCTGGGATTATAGGCACGTGCCACCATGCCTGGCTAATTTTTATAGTTTTAATAGATATGGGGTTTCACCATGTTGGCCAGGATGGTCTTGAACTCCTGACCTCGTGATCTGCCTGCCTCAGCCTCCCAAAGTGCTGGAATTACAGGCATAAGCCTCTGCACCTGGCCATTTTTCTTTTTTTTTTTCTTTTTAGACAGAATGTTGCTCTGTTGCCCAGGCTAGAGGGTAGCTGTGTAATCTGGGCTCAGTGCCACCTCAACCTCCTGGGTTCAGTTATTTCTTACTTCGACTCTCTGAGCCTACTGGGAATTTAACTCATTCAGCTGAGCATCCTTTGCAGTGCTTACATAAAGGTCCACCCCTCAATGTAATTAGTTGTTCAGTCTCTGTTTAAATGTTCCTTGTGTTGGGGAATGTTTTTTGGGGGGGACAAAAGAATCCCCATTCTTTATGGGGACAGCTTTTGCTCTTGGGAAGTTCGTCCTTATATGGTCTCGCATTACGGTCCTAGTAGCCTCTTCCCTCTGGCCTTCATTCTGCCTCCTGGGGGCTTCCCAATCAAATCCAGTCCTTTTCCCAAGGCGATTTGAGGATGGCCACCGTGTCCCTCCTTGTTATGAGGGGGTTCTCACAGCCAGAGGAGTGATAACCATACCACCCCAAAAGCCCGGTATGGTTATCGCTCAGCCAGATGAAGCTTCTGGTCTGCTTCCAGAGCTCCACAATGGCCAGGTCCTCACTGTTCTCCGGATCGACAATACCTGTACACCCATCTCCTTCGATCTGGGAGCCGCAGAAGAGCAGCTGCAAACCTGGGGCATCCAGGTGAGTGCCAATTTTCTTGAATCCCTACCATTTTTGCTTTCATCCATTCATCTGTCTATCTTTTCATCCAGTTAGTCACAAATCTTTATGAAACACTCTGTGCTTGCTGTGGTAGGGTATGTAAGGAAGGTGGATTCGAACTGCCCTCTCTTTCCTCTCTTCCCAATTAATTCACTTAACAAATGTGTCTTTTTTTGGGTGCCCATTCTGTGCCAGGCACTTAACTGGCTAAACATAATAGAGGTGGACAGGAACATAGTACCTATCCCCATAGGTCCCAGTGGGGGAGATGGACATGTATTGGAGAAATCAGGACAGTATGATATCAATGCCACAGGAGAGGAATGCACTGGCATTGAAGACATTCACGGGAGAAAATGAGAAACTTGCCTGAGGGAAGCAGGCAGTGGTTATGAAAGCTTTGCAGAGGAGCAGATGCTTGATCTGGGGTCTTGAATAAATAGGAATATCCTGGGTGGACAGGAGGAAGTGCATTTTAGGAGAGGGAACTGCATATGCACGGGAAAGTGTCTATGAATTCATTAGATAATGATGCAGCACCTTTGAGCACAGTGATCTGAGGCCAGGCTTCACAGACCCATGGAACTGGATGCAAATCTAGCTCTGGTGCTCACTGCCTATGTGACTTTGGGAAGGTGACTTAACCTCTCTGAGCCTCAGTTTTATCATCTGTAAATGAGGATAATATTGATACCTATTACATAAGGGTTTTTGTTAGGATTCAATGCAATAATGCTTGAGGAATCCTGGCATTGTCTCTAGCATATAGTAAATGCTCAATATATTGTAGCTATTACTGTTATTAAGTACCCATATGTATGGTTTTTATTCTCAAAGCCCCCAACATGATCAGGCCTTTCCTGTGCTAGCGAAGGAAGATTAATTAGGACTAGGGAAGATACACTGCTAACTTTAGCCTGAAGATTTTAGAATTTACTTCTTTTTTTTTTTTTTTTTTTCTTTTGAAAGGGAGTCTCGTTCCGTTCCTCAGGTTTGAGTGCAGTGGCGTGATCTCTGCTCACTGCAACCTCCACCTCCCGGGTTTAAGCAATTCTCCTGCCTCAGCCTCCTGAGTAGCCGGGTTTACAGGAGTGTGCCACCACACCCAGCTAATTTTTGTATTTTTAGTAGAGACAGGGTTTCACCATTTTGGCCAGGATGGTCTCAAACTCCTGACCTTGTGATCCACCTGCCTTGGCCTCCCAAAGTGCTGTAATTACAGGCATGAGCTACTGTACCTGGCCTTTTTTTTTTTTTTTTGAGACACAGTGTTGCTCTGTTGCCCAGGCTGGAGTGTAGTTGTGTAATCTAGGCTCACTGCCACCTCAGCCTCCTGGGTTCAAGTGATTCTCATGCCTCATTCTCCCTAGTAGCTAGAACTACAAGCAGATACCACAGCTGGCTAATTTTTGTATTTTTATAGAGATGAGATTTCACCGTGTTGGCCAGCTTGGTCTCTTAACTCCTGACCTCAAGTGATTCACCCGCCTTGGCCTCCCAGAGTGCCAGAATTACAGGTGTGAGCCACTGCACCTGGCAGATTGGGTGGTTTTTAATGGATGAACAGTTTACATATTCTGTGTTCCTAAATATTATTATTTTTATTTTTTATAAAAAGAGACAGGGTCTCACGATGTTGCCCAGGCTGGTCTTGAACCCCTAGGCTCAAGCAGTCTGCCTGCCTCAGCCTCCCAAAGTGCTGGGATTACAGGCGTGAGACACTGTGCCTGGCCTAAACATAAGTTTTAATGGTTAAGTTCTGTTTTCTTAGGTCTACTCTCACAGGGCCTTTATATTCTATAGACATTTTTGTTTGGGCAGGAAGATGTGATTGTTCAGTCTTTTGGACTGCATTAATAGATATTGATACTGCAGTATTGATAATGGCATCTGTATATTGAGTGTTTACTAAGGGACTGGCCCATTGCCCAGCGCTGTACATATATTATCTCATTAATATGTACCTTAGTTCTACAAGGTGTGTACTTTTTCCTTGTTTTACAGAGGAGAAAACTGCGGCTCAGAGGAGTGGGGTTACTTGCTCCAGGTCACATAGCACATAAATGGCAGGGCCAGAGTTTGGGCTCAGGGCTATCTGACTCCAGGGCCTATGCCTTAACCGTTAGGCTATGCTGTGTCTGCTGCAAGGTACTGAGTCGGAGGCTGTGTGGATCCTTCTCCAGATGTGATGGTTGTTCTTCCCAGAGCTGAGAGCTGCACCGTGTGACTTCCACCCAGTGCTCCAAGCTCCTCATTCTGCCTTTTGGGACAGCCCAGAATGTGCCTAATCCCTCTTCCACATGATAGTCACATGAACTGGAAACAGTATGCTTGCTATCAGCTAGGAATTGGGGACTGGCTCTCCTGTAACTGACTGATCTCTTTCCCTGAGTTCCAAGCAGGTCCCAGCTGACCAGTACAGAAGCTTGGCAGAGAGTGCCCTCTTGGAGCCCCAAGTGAGAAGATACATCATCTACAACTCAAGGCCCATGCGGCTGGCCTTTGCTGTGGTAAGGGGGAGGTGGCCCGCACCCTGACCCTGCCCTGGTGCCTTGTGGCACTACCAAGTTCAGCATTGTGTCTTGCAGCCTGTTGGTGTGGGTTAGGGGTTTGGCGGCTGGTGGCCCAGGTGTCTGGAAAAGAACAGTACATATGGACATTGATTTGGGATCACAGGAAATTTATGGGAGGGAGTTGTAACCAGGTCCTTGCATAAAGGATGAGGGTCAGGGTTTACTGTGGGGCAGAGCTTGGGACTGGGAGTCTGCAGATCCATCCAGGCTCTGGGCTCAATGTCTGGCCTTGGCCAAGACTTTCCTCCTCTCCTGAACTTGGTTTCCCCATCTGCTCAACAGATGGGTCTATTTCAGCTCTAGTCATATATACGTGTGTATACACATACATATACATATAAATATACATATACCTCTTCATATTTATATATAAACTTACATACATAGATGGCAGAGGCAGGGTTTGAACTCAGGCAGTCTGGTTTCCAGTGTCTGTTCTTGGAACCACTATGATTTGCTGCTGTTTTGTATGTATAAATGGCCAAATAGCACACCTGACTCCATGTCCCACTTCCAGGGAGAAGGGAAGGGGTGGGAACCAGCATTGATTCATTCCCTGGCAAGTGCTGGGCTTTTACTTATGTTACCTTGTTAACCCTTATTATAATGCTGTGAAATAGGTGTTATTATCCCCATTTTACAGATGAGGAAACTGAGACTGAGAGGAGTTATAAATTGTCCAAAGCCGTGTAGTATTTGAAGGATCATTGTGGTCTTTGAAGAGAAATTTGTCTCACTTCAGTCCACCTGCCTTTTTCTGTTTTATTTAAAATTAAGGTAAACAAGGATTAAGTGTAGCTACTAATCCTTCTTGTCTAATTTTGCTTATAACCAATGAAAATGAGCTCGTTCTCACAGACCCAGGGATCTGTATCAATCTCTTACTGGTGCTGTGAGCTGTCTGAATCCAAGGAGGGTATCAGTAGCATCTGAAGGGTGGCCCTTTGAATGGAGCTGCTTTATGTGAGGACTGGAGTTCCTGACCATGCTCTCTCTGTGGCATCTTGCAGGTTTTCTACGTGGTGGTGTGGGCCAATATCTACTCCACCAGCCAGATGTTTGCCTTGGGGAACCACTGGGCTGGCATGCTGCTCGTGACGCTGGCTGCAGTGAGCCTGACCCTGACTCTTGTGCTGGTCTTTGAGAGACACCAGAAGAAGGTGAGACATCTGGAGATCCCTGCCATGCTTCCTCCAGAAGGGTGGTGCAGGCATGAGAATCAGATTTTTCTCTTTTGCCTGCCTCAAAGAATTTCCCTAGCCATGAAAATTCACAGTAGCCCATAAGCCCAGTGACTAAAAGAAATCATATCCTCTCTGCTTTTCCTGTCTAATCCCTGTGGATTGTTTTTCTGGTAGCAAGCTGTGTTTTGAGAATGTGGGAGGAGGGCACTAATAGCCCATATCCCGACAGTACTTTAGTTAACTGAACCCTTTCATGCACTTCCTCTCCCTGGGTGCTCAGGATAACCCTGCAGGCAAGGGAGAGTTGGTTACTGAACCCCTGCTGCAGCACAGGGTGCCTGAAGTTGAAGTCTGGGAAGAAGCACTTTACATTATTCCCTCCTGTGATGGGCAGATGCTGACCTGGTGCTCTATTGACAGTCATGTCTTTAATCACAGCAGTGACCTTTGAGGCAAGGTGAGTGGTTACTTGTCCTGAATCCCAATGTTAGTGACAGAGCCAGGATTCAAAGCCTGAGCCCTCTGATTCCTGATCATGTTCAGAAAGGAGGCGGATACCTCCCAGCTTATGTATGATTTTAATTGTATTCCATCTCTTCAGTGTCTGCCTTTTGATATGTATTGAACACATCATATGTAGTGGGTCCTCCGCTACATGTTTAACACATTAACTCATTAAATCCCTTGACATTAAATCTGGGTAGAGGCTCTAACGCTTATTTTGTAGTCGCGGAACACTAGACTCAGAAATGCTCAAAGAGTAGCCCCAGCCATGCTACGAATAAATGCCAGAGTTGGAAATCAAGGCCAGGGCCTCAGATTCCAAGCCATGTTCTCAGCCAGTACCCTTTAGAAAATTGTTGGTTTGGCTGGGTGCAGTGGCTCATGCCTGTAATCCCAGCACTTTGGGAGGCCGAGGCAGATGGAACCCGAGGTTAGGAGTTCGAGACCAGCCTGACCAACATGGTGAAACCCCGTCTCTACTAAAAATACAAAAAAAGATGAGCCAGGTATGGTGGTGCATGTCTGTAGTCCCAGCTACTCAGGAGGCTGAGGCAGGAGAATCACTTGAAACCACAAGGCAGAGGTTGCAGTGAGCTGAGATCAAGCCACTGCACTCCAGCCTGGGTGACAGAGTAAGACTCTGACATGGAAAAAAAAAAAAAAAAAAAAAAGAAAACTGTTGGTTTACTATAGCTACTGTAATAAATTACCATGAACTTCGTGGCTTAAAACAATACCAATTTGTTATCTTCCTGTTCTGTAGGTTAGATATGTGACAAAGGTCTCACTGGGCTGAAAATCGAGTGCAGGCAGGGCTGCTTCCTTCTGAGGCCTCTGGGGGAGAATCTGCTTTCCTGCCTTTGTAGCTTCTGGTGGTCCTCTGCATTCCTTGGCTCATGGCCCCTTTCTCCATCTTCAAAGCCCACAATGGCGGATCCAGTCTTATTCACATCTCCTTCTCTGACTCTTTTGGCTCCGTCTTCTACTTTTTTTTTTTAGATGGAGTCTCACTCAGTCAGCCAGGCTGGAGTGCAGTGGCGTGATTTCAGCTCACCGCAACCTCTACCTCCTGGGTTCAAGCGATTCTCCTGCCTCAGCCTCCCAAGTAGCTGGGATTACAGGCATGCACCTCCACACCTGGCTGATTTTTACAATTTTAGTAGAGTCGGGGGTTTCACTGTGTTAGCCAGCATGGTCTCGATCTCCTGACCTCGTGATCTGCCTGCCTTGGCCTCTGAAAGTGCTGGGATTACAGGTGTGAGCTACTGTACCTGGCCCCTTCTCTAATTTTAAGGATCCCCGTGACTACATTGGGCCACCTGGACAATCTGAGATAATCTCCTATTTTTAAAGTCAGCTGAGTAACAACATTGATTTCATTGACAGCTTTAATTTCCCTTTGCCATGTAACAACATACGCATGGGTTCTGGGGAATAGGACTTAGACATCTTTGGGGACCATTTTTCTGCTACCACACCTAGGCTGTCTTTCTATCTACTTGGGAAGCTCCTGTTTCCCCGATCCCCTGATCACTGGCGCAGTGCTGGCCTCTGAGATCCTTAGCAAACACTCTGCTCTTGCGTGACTCAGAGCGAGAGGGCAGGATATTGGGAAATGTAAATCAGCATTTGGGGCATGAGTTCTACTTAGCGCCTGTGTTCATGGAGACAAATGGGAACTTTATGGTATACTCATTCTGAAAGGATCTTTGTTGGGCTTTGCCACGGGACTGACAAAATAATTCTGCCCTTGGGGTCTGTTGAAGCTTTCATGGCCCTTGTGTTTGGTCTATGAAAAATAAATTGAGCTGGCTACTCCTGCAGCAAGAACTTTCACTTGGGAAGGGGAAGAAGCAAAGTGTTTTGTTTCAGCAAGAGCAAGCAAAAAAAATTGGCACCTGACAGGTGCTTCGAGGATGTGAATGTAATTCACGTGGTGAAGGGAGTGCCTGCTTTGGCTCTCTGCCTCTGTCTCTTCTCTTCTCCTTTTATTCAGCTGGTGTTTATCAAGCCCTTGAAAGTATCAGGACATACCTTGTCCAGGGCCACACAGCCAGGAGACACCAGAGCTAGTCTTTGGCCCAGGAGTGACACTATTGAATTTACTGTTCCAACAATATCTGTCTGTCTGTCTGTCTATCTATCTATCTATCTATCTATGTATCTATCTGTCCGTCTGTCCATGCATCTATCTATCTATCTATCTATCTATCTATCTATCTATCTATCTATCCATCCATCCATCCATCCATCCATCTATGAATGACAGAGTCTTACTCTGTGCTAGGCACAGATCCCAGAAAATGAGCAAGAGCAAGGTACAGCATGGAGGCCACAGGTGAGTCCTGGCAATGCCATCATCACTGTCTGCTCATTTAGGAGACTCCTTTTTTCCTTCCTAATAATGTCCATCACTTAAGGAGCGCCTATTGTGCGCTGTAAGCTTGGGGCTTCATGTCTGTGCTCAACAGCAACCTTTACGGAGGGAGGATACCTCCATCATTTGCTAGCTCTGCAACTTGGGGTAAGTTACTTAACCTATCAGGGCTTCAGTTTCCTCATCTAAAATTGAGATAATAAGTGTAGCTCCCTCATAGGGTTGTTGTGAGAATGAAATGACTTAGACACACAAGGTGTTTATAATAGTACCTGGTATAAAGTAAATGCTTTGTAAGTATTAAGTGTTATCGACTCTGTTCGCCAGTGAGGAAGTGGAAGCTCAGAAAGGTTAAGTAACCAGTCTATGGCCACACAGCGCTTCTCAGGTCTTCGTTTGGGTCTCAGCTCCAGGACCTCCTCCTTCCTGGATCCCTTGTCACTCAGGACTGTGTAGATCCCCTCTTCCTGACCATTGTCACTCTTAACTGTTAGCATCCACTCTGTGTCACTTGGTGTCCTTGAGAGCCTCAATGTCCTGCATAACTGTCTTGTTTTCCCTTTGGTGCACCTTCTCAGGACTGGAAGGTTTGGGCCAGGCATGGTGGCTCACACTTATAATCCCAGTAATTTGGGAGGCTGAAGTGGCAGGATCACTTGAGCCCAGGAGTTTGAGTCCAGGCTGGGCAACATAGTGAGACCCTGTCTCTACAAAAAAATTAAATCAGCGGGGTGCAGTGGCACATGCCCATAGTTCTAGGAGGCTGAGGTGGTATGATTGCTTGATCCTAGGAGTTCAAGGCTGCAGTGATCTGTGATGTCACAGGTTACTCCAGCCTGGGTGACAGAGTGAGACCCTGCCTTAAAAAAAAAAGATTGGAAGGTTTGTAAAGGCAGGCCAGTCCCTGCCTTGTAGAGTATAGCACATTGCTAGGGCATATGAGAAGTTCCAAGTTTCTACGAATGTTTGTGGCTAATATGGAACAGTGAAACACAATGCTTCCAATTCACTGTCATCCTCACTGTGATATTATCAGGTGACGTGTGTTAAGTGTTCATTTCTTTCAATTATTCTACATGGATTAACTCATTTCATCCTTATTATATCCCTCTGAGGTAGGGGCTTTATTATCTCATGGGGGTGAGGAGATAGATGGAGGCAGAGAGATGATTAGTAATTTGCCCAAGGTTACCTGGGCAGTGAGAGATGGAGTTAGGGATTGAGCTGTTGGGATACAGATTTCTAGAAGGAAGAACAGCCCTTACTACAGTTCTAGGCAAAACAAAATATAATTATTCCTTGATTTTCATAGTAGAAGCATTCCTGGAAAACTCAGTGTATATTAAACTCATGCAAACAATCACTTTAAGTGGCTGGGTGTGATGGTTCATGCCTGTAATCCCAGCACTTTGGGAGGGCCGAGGTGGGAGAATTGCTTGAACCTAGGAGTTGAAGACCAGCCTGAGAAACATAGTGAGACCCCATCTCTACAAAATACTTAAAAATTAGCCAGGTGTGGTGGAATGCATGTGTGGTCCCAGCTGCTCGGGAGGCTGAGGCAGGAAGATCTCCTGAGCCCAGGAGGTCAAGGCTGCAGTGAGTCGTGTTCGTACCAGTGCACTCCAACCTCTGTGACAGAGTGAGACTAGGCTTCAAAAAAAAAAAAAAAAAATCACTTTAGGTATAAATGTAAACTGGAGTTAGGTTGGCTGACCAGAGAATTCTAAGTAGATTTTTTACCTGCATGTATGCTCAGTGGGGCATTTGGAGTTCAGACAGCCCAGGGGACAGTCTTTAACAGGCAGAATGGTTTCTATAGGACATGTCTTTCAGTGGTTTGGAGCCCCTGGCCCTCCTCCACTAAGTGCCAGCATTGTCCATCCCATCCCTGTGACAACCACAGGGTCCTTCTTACCTTTCCAAAATACCCCTTACGGGGTGCTGCCCCTTTTGGGAACTATTATCCTTGATTGGGCTGCTCTCTTCTAACTGTGTCTGAAAGTCATCTTGTGCTCATTTTCTCAAACCAGCATTTGGGGTCCCCTTGTTCCTCCTCTTCTCCCCCACCTGTTTAGTATCCACTTTCCCAGCTGAATGTGTGGCGTCCATCGGTTTGGGTGGGAGAACAGAAGACTAATTCCCGGAGTCCCTCCTGAGGGCCAGTGCTGTGTTAGGTACTTTAAAGTAGGTGCTTTCCAGATGGAGCGAGTGCTTCACTTACACAACAGATTTGATGTGTCAGCTCAAACAGATCAAACCCATTTGATCTCCCCTCTTCCGTAAATATCTTATGCACCTTGACCATAGTCCCAGGCCCTGGGTTAAGTGCATCACACACAATCTCAGTGAAATCTCACTTCATTCCTAGGAGACAGAGACATTCTTTTATTCTACAACTGAAGAAAATAAGTTTCAGGGAAGGGACATACCGTGTCCAGGGCCATATAGCCAGGAAGCAGCAGAGCTGGGCTTTATCCCAGGGCTTTCTGACACTATTGAATTTACCGTTCTAACAGTCCCCCATCTCATTTTATTTTTCTTTACTTCTTTTTTTTTTTTTTTGAGACTGAGTTTTGTTCTGTCGCTAGGCTGGAGTGCAGTGGTGTGATCTTGGCTCACGGCAACCTTCCTCTCTCTGGTTCAAGTGATTCTCCTCCCTGAGCCTTCCAAGTAGCTGGGACTACAGGCATGCACCACCATACCCAGCTAACTTTTGTATTTTTAGTAGAGACAGGGTTTAACCATCTTGTCCAGGATGGTCTCGATCTCCTGACCTTGTGATCTGCCTGCCTTGTCCTCCCAGAGTGCTGGCATTACAGGCGTGAGCCACCACACTCGGCCTGCTTCTGTCACCCAGGCTGGAGTGCAGTGGTACAATCATAGCTTACTATAGCCTCACACTCCTGGGCTCAAGTGATCCTCTTGCCTCACTCTCCTAAGCAGTTGGGACTACAGTGCATGCTCCCGCACCTAGCTAATTTTTAAACCATTTTTAATTGAGATGACATCTCGCTACATTGTCCAGGCTGGGCTCAAACTTCTGGCCTCAAGAAATGCTCCTGCCTTAGTTTCCCAAAGCACTGGGATTACAGACATGAGTCACTGTGCCTGCCTCCACCCCAACCCATTTAATAGGGGGGAAATGGGAGAATCGTGAGGGTGGGGATTGTCCCTTGGCATTGGGAGTGGGACAGTATGTTTCTACTGCTCAGAGCCCAGGAGCTCCCCAGTAGTATGGAGGTCCGGTCATGGCCTGGCATTTGTCTTACAGGCCAACACCAACACAGACCTGAGGCTGGCAGCTGCCAATGGAGCCCTCCTAAGACACAGGGTGCTGCTGGGGGTGACAGACACAGTGGAAGGATGCCAGAGTGTGATTCAGGTACTGTGTCTCATAGTGACCTCTTCCTCATGGCCCAGTTTTATGTTGGGCTAAATGGAGAGCAGTGGCCTTATGTTCTCTCAACCTGCACAGTATCTGCACTAGTCTGCTAATGAATGAGAGGGCTATCGGCAGCCCTTTCCTTCCTCCCTGCCCCAGTGTTTCTTCCTCGAGACACCTTCTCTGTGCAGTAACCAGTGGCCTGGAACCTCCACGTGGCAGGGCTGAAAGGGAAGCACAGATAATATCCAAACCTTGCTGGCCACCTGGCATTTACTCAGCAGACAGATGGAGCCTCCTCTGCACTGTGCCCTTGGTTCGACACTGACCACACTGAGGGGCCCGTGCAAGGTCCCTGTCCTGCCAGAGGATGACAGGCACACAGTGAGACAGTCAATAGTAGCCTCTCCAGCCTTATAGCAAAGGGACAGCCCCTGACAAATCTGAGAGGCAAGGTACACAGGGTCCCTTTGCAGGGCTGCATGGAGCTCACCATGGCTGGGGCTATGTCAGAGTGACGCATTGTGAAGAGATGAGGCCAAGAGGCAGGTCAGATGCTGAAGGCCTTGTCTGCCTGGCTTGGTCATTGTCTTTGCCCGGAAGGTTGTGGGGAGATCTGAAAGTGACTCGTATGGAGTTGCAGGGTGGATTGGAACACAGTTAGGCCAGATCTGCTGATCCTGGCTGAACTCTGCCTATTCCTCCTATCCATGCCTGATCTGCCTGGTGGAATTGCAAGACCTCCTCAGTGCCACATCTGCATTCTCACCAGTCATGCCTCTTGCCTGGTGGGAACCCAAGGGGTAGGTGTGCATGGGGGACCTGGGAAGAGGCTCCTCATGCACCTGCCTCAGTTACCCCACAAATGCTTATCGAGAGCCTATTATGTACCAGACACTGTCCCAGGGATTGAGGCTGCAGCAGAGAACACGTGCAGGTCCCTGTGTTTGTGGAGGCTGTTGCACTCAAGGTGGTGTAGGTATAAGATGATCTTACCTAATATTGGGGTGAAGCAGATGGCATCACAAGATTCCTGGCAGTTCAAGGGTGACATTGTAGACTGGGAACTCCTGGAATTTGGGGGTCCTTCTTAGCCTCATTTACCTCCAAATCTCCTTTATCCATTGGCACGTAGTAGTGACTTGGCATGTGTTAGCTGAATGCATAGATGGATAGCTGACCAAAGAATGGGCACATCAGCTGGACGTGGTGGCTCACGCCTGTAACCCTAGCACTTTGGGAGGCTGAGGCATGTGGATTGCTTGAATCTAAGAGTTCAAGACCAGCCTGAGCAACATGGAAAGCTCTGTCTCTACAAAGAGTACAAAGCCTGGCTGGGCCTAGTGTCACGTGCCTGTAGTCCCAGCTACTTGGGAGGCTGAGGTGGGAGGATCACCTGAGTCCAGGAGCTCAAAGCTGCAGTGAACTGTGATCGCACCACTGCATTCTCGCCTGGGTGCCAGAGTGAGACCCTATCTCAAAAAAAGAAAAGGGCACATCTTTTTAGACAGCTGTGTTCTTTCAGTTTCAAAATAGTATCTTGGGATGATGTGATACACCAACTGGGATGTCCTTCAGCTTCACTGGCGGGTGTAGTGGAGGTGGGGGTGTTGGGGACAGGTACCAAGTGAGGATGGAGATGAACCAAGAATGGCCATGAGGTGACCTAACAGTTGCAGGAGGATGATGGGTTGCTGTCATCTACTTCTGCACATGATTGGAAATTTTCATAGTAAGAAGCTTTATAGGAATCATTTGAGAAATACTCTTTTGTAGGTAAGACACTGGGATACTAGTTGGCAAGAAGGCTGTGACTTTGGGTTTCTATGGGTCAGTCCACGGGAGGAGGGAGGTCTGGGATTCAGAGGAAGTGGCCAGTGGATGGGAGTTTGGGGCAGGAGCCACCAGTTTCTCGAAGAACTTCAATTAGGATGTGTGGCAGATGTGGTCTTGACAGGATGTCGTAAGGTGAACGTGTAGGATTTCAGCCTGGTTAAGTTTAACCTGGCTGGCCCCTGGGGTGGAAGCGGGGTGCCGGTGGGGTGCAGACTTCTTGTCCTGCTTCTCTCCCCACAAGCATCCAGGTTGATTACCTCAGACCTGGTTGTGGGCCGCAGGTGAGAGCTCTGAAGGCTTTTACTCATTTGCATGTTCATGCCCTGCCCATTGAGGATGAAGGTGGCCTCAAGTAGGACAGGTGATGTCCAAGAGGGTTCGGAGTCTGTCTGGGATGCTCAGTGGCTTGTGGGAAATGGGCCACAGCCATTTTGAACAGAGTTGGACTTTTTCTTTTTTCTTTTTCTTTTTTGAGACAGAGTCTTGCTCTGTTGCCCAGGCTGGAGTGCAGTGACTTGATATCGGCTTACTGCAACCTCCACTGCCCAGATTCAAGCGAATTCTTGCGCCTCAGCCTCCTGAGTAACAGGCATTACAGGTGCCCACTACCATACCCAGCTAATTTTTTGTAGAGACAAGGGTTTTTCCATGTTGACCAGTCTTGAACTCCTGGCCTCCAGTGAAACCCAAAGTGCTGGGGTCACAAGTGTGAGCCGCCGCATCTGGCCTGGGGTTTGACCTTTTCTAAATTTGCGCCCAAAGCCGTTTTTCTACCAGCCATACAAATGAGATGTGGTCATGGTGTGAGACTCTGGGAGGGAGCCAAATGGCACGTTCCTGCCAGACAGCCGGCTAAATAGGACTGTCCCAGGGAGGGAGAGTTCCAGGTTGGGCTGCCTTTGAGCCACGGTGTTCACAGCTTCTTCTCCCTTCAGCTTTGGTTTGTCTACTTCGACCTGGAGAACTGTGTGCAGTTTTTGTCTGATCATGTTCAAGAAATGAAGACTAGCCAAGAGGTAAGATATCTTCAGTGAAAAAAACCAAACAAACCCAAACCCAGAAGGCCAAGTTGTATCGATCGCATTATTTTAAAGGTGGGAAATGTCTAATAAAAAGTTACTTGGAAGAATACCTATGAGCAATCAGTGGTTGTTTTTGCCTTGGGAATTATGGCTGCTTTTCTGCTTTTTTTTTTTTTTTTGAGACAGAGTCTCACTCTGTCACCCAGGCTGGAGTGTGGCACGATCTCAGCTCACTGCAACCTCTGCCTCCCGGGTTCAAGTAGTTCTCTCTCAGCTTCCTGAGTAGCTGGGATTATAGGTGCCCACCATGATGCCAGGCTAATTTTTGCATTTTTGTAGAGATGGGTTTCACCATGTTGGCCAGGCTAGTCTCGAACTCCCGACCTCAGGTGATCCTCCCCGCTTAGCCTCCCAAAGTGCTGGGATTATAGGCATGAGCCACTGCACCCAGCCTTCTGCTTGTTTTTAACTCCTCGTTTCTTCTTCTGTATTTCCTGTGGTGAACATGTTTCTTTATAATAACACTATTAATAATAAATTTTGGTGGATCTCGAAGTTTCATGTATTTAGGCAACTTTTACTTGTTCACAGTGCCTTTCTACCATTTATTAAGAACATCAGAGGGATCTCGCTCTGCTTCTCCAGAGGAGGAAACAGGCTCTGTGGTCATGGAGCTGGCTGGTTTGGAGGCCAGGCCTCCTGTCTCCTAGCCCTGGGCTCCTTCCCTAGGATTGGCCTTTCTGAGCTCTGGCTGCAGTGGATCTTGAAGTCAGGGTTGTGACTTAGCCCTGAATCTGGCTCATTAGTTCCTGTGTGGCCTCGAGCAAGCCTTTGAGTCTCAGTTTATTCATTTGCAACATCTGGATAAAGATACCCACATCCCAGGCTGCTTTGAGCAAGTGAGAACATGAAATGAAAAATATTAGTTTGTTTGTTTTGAGGCAGAGTCTGGCTCTGTCACCCAGGATGGAGTACAGTGGCATCATCTTGCCTCACTGCAACCTCTGCCTCCCAGGTTCAAGTGATTCTCATGCCTCAGCCTCTGCCTCTGCCGAGTAGCTGGGAGCACAGGCACACGCCACCATACCTGGCTAATTTTTATATTTTTGGTAGAGACAGGGTTTCACCATGTTGGCCAGGCTGGTCTTGAACTCCTAGCCTCAAGTGATCCACCCAACTCAGCCTCCCAGAGTGCTGGGATTATGGGCTCGAGCCACCCTGCCTGGCCAAAAAGGGAAAGATATTTAGAAGCTAATAATTACCATCTGTAGAGAATTACATAACATCACCAATGTGACCAGCTTTTTCTGAGGTCATCATCTGAGTCTGAGACCTCATCCTCTGCTGGGTCTTCAGGTCACGGAGGGACTGTCTCGCAGACACCACCCCATTTAAGCACTCCTGAGCCCCTTCTCTGTTTCTTTTGCAGTCCCTGCTGAGAAGCAGATTGAGCCAGTTGTGTGTTGTTATGGAGACTGGGGTGAGCCCTGCAACAGCAGAGGGGCCTGAGAACTTGGAGGATGCTCCTCTCTTGCCCGACAGTTCTCGTCCTATGGAGAGGCCACTCATGCAGACTGAGCTTCACCAGCTCGTTCCCGAGGCTGAGCCGGAGGTAACAGGCACTGGGGCTAGTCACGGCCATCCTCCCTTGGGGGAGTTTGTGTAGAGAATGTCTATGTGGGGGCTTCCTAGATTCCCAGGGACATGGCTTCTCTCAGTCGGTAGACACCATACAAACCTAGCTCAGGAGTTTTAAGTCTTTTTATTCTTCACCCTAGCACTTTAAAAAAATAGTTAACAGAAAGCATTTTATATTTATTGGTACTTTTTGTCACATTATTTTATATCTTGGATATTCTTTTTGATGGTTGCATTGGATGGGTAGTTGCATGCTGATAAATTATAGCTTACTTCACCATGAACATATTGACAAATATTTGGGTCTTAATTAATCAATTATTTATTCATCTATCCAACTGTTCATCCATCTACTTTAATTGTAGTTAGATAGTTGATTCTTCTTTGCATTTTTTTTTTTTATGACAGGATCTTACTCCTGTCACCTAGGCTGGGATGCAGCAGTGTGATCACTGCTCACCGTGGCCTCAACTTCCCAGGCTCAAGCAATCCTCCCACCTCGGCCTCCTGAGTAGTTGGGACTATAGGCATGCACCACCACGCCTGGCTAATTTTTTTGTATTTTTATTAGAGGCAGGGTTTTGCCATGTTGTCCAGTGTGGGCTCCAACTCCTGGGCTCAAGAGATCTACCCACCTCGACCTTCCACTTCTTCACATTTCCGTTGAATTCCAGTTCTTTCAGCCCCAGAGTTCTGTTGGGTCCTGCCATCCACTCTGCCTCTTGGCTATGGCTAAGCACTGGTAGACCAGAAATCTGAAAACGTGGTTTGTAGCTTGTGCTTCCTTCTTCTCACAGGGACAAACCCACTGTCAGGGAGACAAGGAGTGACGGTGACCTCAGGTGACCTTTGAGACTTCAGAAGAGCACTTACATCTTTTCAGCCAAGTGATTTGGGGATTCAAGGTCCAAACCAGCCCAGGCTTTCTCTTTTGTACTGGGGGGAGTAGAAATCCTACAAGTAGTACTATTTAAAAGAGAAAGTGATAGGCCAGTGCAGTGGCTCAACAGAGCAAGACTCTGTCTCAAAAAAAATTATCTTTTTATGTTAATTTTTAAATTTTATTTAGAGACAGGGTTTCACCATGTTGCCAACGCTTGTCTTGAACTCCTAAGCTCAAGTTCGGCCTCCTGAAGTGCTAGGATCACAGGTATGAGTCACTGTGTCCTGCCAAAATATTAAAAAAAAAAAAAAAAGAGAAAATGATAAATGTATTAATCTCTTCACTTTATCCTATTGACTTTTTTTTTAAAAGAGAAAAGCTTGGGCCGGGCGTGGTGGCTCAAGCCTGTAATCCCAGCACTTTGGGAGGCCGAGGAGGGTGGATCACGAGGTCAAGAGATGGAGACCATCCTGGTCAACATGGTGAAACCCCATCTCTACTAAAAATACAAAAAATTAGCTGGGCATGGTGGCGCGTGCCTGTAATCCCAGCTACTCAAGAGGCTGAGGCGGGAGAATTGCTTGAACCCAGGAGGCGGAGGTTGCGGTGAGCCGAGACTGTGCCATTGCACTCCAGCCTGGGTAACAAGAGGGAAACTCTGTCTCAAAAAAAAAAAAAAAAAAGAGAGAGAAAACCTTGATAAGATTATGTATTTTCTTGCAACATGCATGTGTGGGTTTTTGTGCAATAACCCATTAAATATGGGTCTTTTAAATGATTTTTTTTTTCAAATTTATTCAAACCAATAGTAATACAGTTTCTTGTCATGAATATCAAGTGTGTATGCACATGCTTTTAAAGTCGCTGCCTTTATAATTTAGTTAGGGAAAATGTAATCAATGCCCATGCCTCAGCCTGGGCCAGATGATCGTATTTCAGTAGGAACCCAGTGTCTGTAAAAGATGGAAAGATAGTGATAATGACCTCTTCCATTTTGACAGATTTTTCTCATGCATAAAATTCATTAGCATTCTTTTCAAGGTATTAATTATTTTCCTTTCTTCCTTGATTGGTGAAATAAGGTTCCAAGAGGTCAGCTGACTTTCCCAAGGTGGCTAGAAAGGGAGAGTGTGGTAAGCCAAGGGCGGAAGCCAGCCCTGCTGATTCTAAGTAGGCCAATGTTCTTGCTACAGTTCTTTGCTTCTTACATTACTGATTTTAGAGTAAACTGGCAAGAAGACCAATCTGAGTTAGGGAATGGTAAACTATCTGAAGTGTTTTATATTTTCTAGCACAAAGGATAACTTGAAACAAATGCTAATCTTGTGTTGGAAAGGTATTTATGCCATTTGGGGAGCACTAGGCGCTAGGCTCAATGCTGTTTGTCTGTTAAGCTCTTTAATCCTCACTCTGACTTCATGGGTTCAGTGCCACTATTTTCCCCATTCTCCCAATGAAGAAATGGGCTCAACAATGTGAAGTGACTGCTCTGGGTTAATCAGAGTGACTGAGCTGAAATTCCCCCTTGGCCTTTTTGACTTTAAAGCCTGTCCTTAATTACTAACTTTACAGACATAACTAGCATTGATGTAACTCACACCTTATTTCATGACATTCAGAGTGGACACAAGTCATGTGAAAGACCTTCAACACCATGCTTAAGGAATTTAAGCATTTCCCCTGAGATCCCATCTTCTGGACTGGTGAATGGATCTTTACAGCTCTTTAAATGTGTTAATAAGAATGTGCATTAAGGCCTAGCGCAGTGACTCACAGCTGGAATCCCAGCAGTGTAGGAGGCCAAGGCAGGAGCCTATGAGTTCGAGACCAGCCTGGGGAACATAGTAAGGACATAGTAAGATCCCATGTCCTTTTTTTGTTTTTGAGACAGAGTTTCCCTCCTTTTGCCCAGGCTGGAGTGCAATGGCACGATCTCAGCTCACTGCAACCTCTGCCTTTGGGTTCAAGTGATTCTCCTGCCTCAGCCTCCCGAGTAGCTGGGATTACAGGCACCTGTCAGCACACCTGGCTAATTTTTTTGTATTTCTAGTAGAGACAGGGTTTTACCATGTTGGCCGGGCTGGTCTTGAACTCTGAGCTCAGGCGATCTGCCTGCTTTGGCCTCCCAAAGTGCTGGGATTACAGGCGTGAGCCACTGTACCTGGCTTAAGATACATGTCTTTAAAAAAGAAAAAAAAGTACATTTTTTTCAATTAAATTTTTAATCCTTTTTTTTTTTTACTTAAACTTTTTTGTGGCAAATATGCATAGTATAAAATTTACCATCTTAACCATTTTAAGTCTATGGTTCGGCAACATTGGGTACCTTCACGTTGTTACACAACTGTCACCACCATCCATCTACAGAATATTTTCATCTTCCCAAATCAAAGCTCTGTGCCCATTAAACATGAACTTCCCCTTCCTTCCTTTCTCCCTCCCCTCAACCCCTAGAAACCATGGTTTTACCTTCTCTCCCTGTGAGTTGATTACTCTAGGTGCCCTGTATTAGCAGAATCATACAGTATTTGTCCTTTTGTGATACAACTAAATTTTATAAGCCATCTCTTTTTTCCCTTTTTGATGTTTTTCTTTCTTTTTTTTTTAATTTTACTGTCAGTGATCATATTTAAATGTAAGCAGTCTCTTTTTAATATGTTAGGAGTACTTGTGTTAAGAAATCTACCAGGTTTCTTGTATGAATTAAAGAATTCTGTTATCATGGGACTATTTCTTTCCCCACCTCCACTATTTAATAATTTTCTTCAGGTGAGTCAGTTTGATCTCATGTACTGTACAGACTCATAGACATTTGAAAGTAGAAAAAAGAATGTATTTGTGGCTGGCTAAGTTTTTAAAATATATTTTTAATTTCAATTTTATTTTTGTAGAGACAGAGTCTCGCTCTGTTGCCCAGGCTGCCCTTACATTCCTGACCTCAGGTGATCTTCCTGCCTTGGCCTCCCAAAGTGCTGGAATTACTGGTGTGAACCACCATGCCTGGCCAGCCAGCTCGATGTAAAAACTTAGGTAATTAGAATTAGGTAATTTCTCTAGCACTTTGAGCTTGCATATCTTTTTTGTGAGTATTGTTATTGCCATTCAGCAGTTAGTTACCCACCTTGGCAGTGAGGACACTGAGGCTGCAGGAGCCCCACAGCCCGTGGATTGCAGAACTGGGCGTCTAGACCAGGCTGGCATCTTCTGAGAGCCCCAGGTACTGGCCTGGCCTGGTTCTTCTTAGTGAACATCACTCCTGAGTCCAAGGGCAAGAAGACAGTGTGGCTTTTCCCCAGTGCCTAAGCCCTTTTCCCACAAGGAGTTCCCCTGGGGTATTCAATCTGCTTCCCCGTCTTTTCTAGGAAATGGCCCGCCAGCTGCTGGCAGTGTTTGGTGGCTACTACATCCGGCTTCTAGTGACCTCCCAGCTTCCTCAGGCAATGGGGACACGGCACACGAACTCTCCGAGAATTCCATGCCCCTGCCAGCTCATAGAAGCCTACATCCTGGGCACAGGGTGCTGCCCGTTCCTGGCCAGGTGACCTAGGGATGAAGGTACTCATCTTCCTCCAAGACTGAGCAATTGGGAAAGCTTCAGGAGCCCAAGATGGGCAATGGGGAGCCCCAGGTGAGGAGAGAAGTATCTGGGGGCACTCCAAAAGGGGTCTGACCTGTCAGCAACAGGGTGTTGTGCTCACTCCAGGCCCCAGCACAGAAATCCTTGTTTGACATCTCATGCTGACTCCTCACCTCTGCAGAAGCTGACAGCTACAGAGCTAGTCCCACCAAAGCTACTCTCTCTGCTGCTTAGAACCATGGACATGTATGGAAGGACTGGTCCTCCATCCCTTTCATTGTCCAGAGAGCCCAGGAGATGTGAAGATGACCAGACTGGGTGAATCATTTGTCCAAAACTTGGCCTCAGATAATGTTTCCATCTCCAACCCCTCCATGCCAGATGGGGAAACTGATGCTCAGTGAGGATACTACTCTATGTGGCATTGCCTTGAACCCTTAAAATGATCAGACTGCCTCTTTCCAATATGAAGAAAAAAAAGTAAGTTTTCAGAATTCTTTCCATTTTTTAAGTTTTTCTCTCCCGTATTTTGTGAAAAACAGTGGTACATGTACATGTTGTCTACCAGTACACAAGCTACAGAAGACAGAGACAGAAGACAGAGGTCAAGGACAGATAACTGTTGACAGGAATATTTGGGAAAGATTGATCCTGTTTCACCTGAGGACTGACTTTGTTCACAGGCATGCACGCCTGTGGTCGTGGTTTTATATTACAGATGCAGAACAGTTCTGTTTCCCGACATGAATGTTGTCCTGGAATGAAGTGGAATCAGTCACTTGTGGAATTCTGTGAAGAGCTCGGAGGCTTCCAAGCGATCTGCTCCTGAACAAGTTTGAAGACCTGTTGTTTCACACACCCAAGTCCAAATGCCCTGACCTGGCATCTGAAGGATCCCCAGCCCCCAAGACCTAGCCTTCATCTCCCACAAAACCCCTTTATGAGTTGCAGCTCTTTCCTGGGCTGGCATACCTATTCCTTTGTTTGTTGGACTCCTAGTCATGCTTCTAAGTCCAGCTCTCTGTAGCCCTTCTTTAGGAAGCCTTCCTACACAGCCAGCCCCGCTGCTCTCTGCCTCCTTTAAGTTCTTGATACAGCTGCTGCCTGTTCTGATGTTTTATGGTATTGATTCTGTTTTCCTGTGTACCTGCCAGTTTTTCTAGCTTGACTGCAAACTCCTCAAGGATAGAGACTCCATGTTGTACTTTTTGTGCATGACCTGGACCCACTAAGGAAAAAAACAAAAAAGTCCTGTGGATTGATTGCTTTGACGTCCCCGTAGCAGCTAATGCAAACTACTGTCCAAACTCACTTGAATGATAAGATTGCTATGGACCTGGGCTCTGGACCTGATCTACCCACTTCAAGCTGTGTAATTTTTGGCAAGTTGCTTTTTTTGGATGGTCCTGAGTTTGCCTATCTATATAATGGGTGGATTGGATGATTCTTTTTTTTTTTTTTTTAATTGAGGCAGAGTCTCACACCGTCACCCAGGCTGGAGTACAGTGGTGCCATCTTGGCTCACTGCAACCTCTGCTGCCTGGATTCAAGTAATTCTCTTGCCTCAGCCTCCCAAGTGGCTGGGACTACAGGTGCACGCTACCAAGCCTGCTAATTTTTTTGTATTTTTAGTACAGAATGGGTTTTGCCATGTTGGCCAGGCTGGTCTTGAACTCCTGGCCTCAGGTGATCTGCCCATGTCAGTCTCCCATAGTGCCGGAATTACAGACATGAGCCCCCATGCCCAGCCTGGATAATTCTTAAGGGCCCTTCTAGGACCAAAGTTCTCGGAGTTTCTAGCTTATTCTGCTCCCTCGTAGCCCTTGGCCTGTTTCTCTTTATCCACATGCAGAAACATCTGGCAGCCCCACATAGCTGAGTTGACCTGGGTCTAGTATGCCCTTGGACGGAAGACTAGCCTACCTAGCAGGAGACCTGGATTTTTCTTCCTGATCTGCAAGTTGTGTGACCTTGGCTAAGTCACTTCACCTTTCTGACTGTCACTTCACTTTTTAATAAAGTGTATCTGGTGAACAAGAAATGTTGTTAAAGCACATGACTCACCATTCAAGAGATGGGTCTGACCATTCACTTTCTCTGTGCCAGAGAAGAGAGGTCATGAGTATGGACCAGCCCTTGGAAAGGCGACTTCAGTCAAGGCTGAGAGCAGCTTTGCCCAAGGAAGTTATTCATGAAGGTGACCACTGTCTTTCTGACCTGGCACAGAGGAAATGTTGGCTGTGAATATGACCAATAGAAAACCTGTATTTCTCATTCAGTCCTAGAACCCTGGTAAGTATAATAACAGAGAATAAAGAAGTGTTTGTTAAATGAAAAAGCAGCAGTTTTTTCAATTTTAAGGTTTACTTAAACAGCCTTTGATATGTATTTCTTTTCCTGTCCTTAGAATTTCTGATGGTCTCACCTGGTGTGTGGGGCGTTCAGGGTATGCCCACAATGTATATTTCCCTTGCATCAGTGCCTCAGTTTCCTCATTTATAAAATCCCCATGATCTCTGTTTCACCTACTTTATAGGGTTGCTGTGAAGATCAGATACTACACACAAGAATGCTCATCAGATTTTAAATTTAATTTAATTTCCTTTAAGTATAATTTTTTCATAGAACTAGGGTCTTGTTATGTTGCCCAGCCTAGTCTTGAACTGCTGGTCTCAAGTGATCCTCCCACCTTGGCCTCCTATGTTGCTGGAATTACAGGTGTGAATTATCATGCCCAGCCAGCTCCTACGTCTTAAGGCTTTGTGTTAATGATAGGTGTGGCCATAGTGGAGGCAGTGGATGTCTGCGAGTGGGAGTGAAGGTGGTAACTCACTGTATGGCTTCTAGAGTTCTGTTTATTCTAATTCAAGTTCTTCCACTTAAGAGCAATGTTCTTCCTCTCACCGAGTCTCATTCCTCATCTGTAGGTTGACGATAAGAGCACTTACCTGGTAGGTTATTGTGAGGATTAAATGATGTGAAAAAATGTCAAGTGCTTGCAACTTTGAATTCCAAACTTGAGTGAGAGCTCACTAAATTGTTGCTTAAAAAAAAAAATTCTATCTTGTAAATAGTAGACACAGATGTATATTTTTGTTGACATAACAGGTCATTAACAGTTAAGATTTTTCAGTCTGCATCAGACCTCAGCTATTTCAGTGCCATACCTGTATATATTTATGTGAATAAAGATTTTAGTCAAATCTCTGGAATTCAGCTTGCAGAGATAATACAGCAAGGAGATAAAGAGCAAGCTGGTGACTTTGGGCAAGATATTTACTCTTTTTGTACTTCCTATACCTAATTTCTCATCTATTAAGGGGTGTGTGTGATAATAAGGGGGGTTAATGGAAGCGATTGAGGTAAAGCACAAAGCCTGGTCAACAGTAGGGGTGTTTCTTCTGCCGCTGCCGGCTGCTGTTGGCTTCTTGTTTAGGTTATCCTATGTTATCTTATAGTTTGGTGTTTTTACTTTTCGGTCTGTGATTCATTTTGAGTTAGTTTTTGTGAAGGGTATAAGGTCTCTATTCAGTTTTTTTTTTTTTTTTTTGGCTTATTTGTTCCAGCATTATTTGTTGAAAAGACTCTTTTTGCTGCATTGTATTGCCTTTGCTTTTTTTTTTAAGGATAAGTTGAGTATACTTATGTGGGTCTATTTCTGGGCTCTGTATTCATACCATTTATCTGTGTATCTGTTCTTTCCCGATAACACACTGTCTCGATTACTGTAGCTTTATAGTAAGTTTTGACATTGGGTAGTGTGAGTCCTCCAACTTTGTTCTTCTCTCTTAATGTTGAGTTGGCTATTGTATGTCTTATGCCTTTCCATTTAAACTTCAGAACCAGTTTGTCAATATCTACAAAATAACTCACTGTTTATTTTGATTGGGATTGCATTGAATCCACAGATCAAGTTGCAAGAACTGACATTTTCACAATATTGATTTCTATCCATAAACATAGAATCTGTCTTCATTTATTTAGTTGTTCTATTTCTTTCATCAGTTTTGGAGGGTTTTTTCTTTTTCCTACAGTTTTTTTGGGTAGTTTTTCATATTTTGTTAGATTTATACCTAAATATCTTATTTTTGGGGGTGCGAATGTAAATTACATTGTGTATTGGTTTCAGATTACATTTGTTCACTGCTAGTATATGGGAATGTGATTGACTTTTATCTACTCACATTGTATCCTGAAACCTTGCTATAATTTCTTATTAGTTCTAGGAGTTTCTCTGTTGATGAGACAATCATTTCGCCAATAAACAAAGACAGTTTTTTTCTTTCTTCCTTATCTGTATACTTTTTATTTCCTTTTCCTGTCCTATTTCATTGGCTTGGACTTCCAGTATGATGTTGAAGAGTAGTGGTAAGAGGGAACATTCTTGCCTTGTTTGTGATTGCAGTGGGAGTTTCTAGTGTCTCACTCTTTTTTTTGAGACAGAGTCTTGCTCTGTTGCCCAGGCTGGAGTGCAGTGGTGTGATCCTGGCTCACTGCTACCTCCATCTCCCAGGTTCAGGTGATTTTTCTGCCTCAGCTTTCTGAGTAGCTGGGATTACAGGCCTGCCCTACCACACCTGGTTAATTTTTTTTTCTTTTTTCTTTTTTTAGTAGAGATGGGGTTTCTCCATGTTGGCCAGTCTGGTCTCAAACTCCTGACCTCAGGCCATCTGCCCCACTTGGCCTCCCAAAGTGCTGGGATTACAGGCATTAGCCATTGTGCCTGGCCTTCACTATTAAATATAATGTTAGCTCTAGATTTTGGGGTAGGTTTTTTTTTTCTTTTTTGAGGCATGGTCTCACTCTGTCACCCAGGCTGGAGACTGGAGTACAGTGGCATGATCACAGCTCACTGCAGCCTTCATCTCCTGAGCTCAAGCAATCCTTCTGGGTAGCTGGGTCTATACCACACCTGCCTATTCTTTTTTTTTTCAAAATGGAGTCTTACTTTGTCCCCCAGGTTGGAGTGGAGTGGCGGGATCTTGGCTCACTGCAACCTCTGCCTCCCAGGCTCAAGTGATTCTCCCACCTCAGCCTCCTGAGTAGCAGGGACCACAGGTGCGCACCACCATGCCTGGTTAATTTTAGTAGTTTTGGTAGAGATGAGGTTCTGTCATGTTGCCGTTGCTCAGCGTGGTCTTGAACTCCTGAATTCAGCTGATCCACCCGCCTTGGCCTCCCCAAGTGCTGAGATTACGGGTGTGAGCCACCATGCCTGGTCTGGGCCACCACAATTGGCCGTAATTTTTAAACTTTTTGTAGAGACAGGGTCTCATTACATTGTCTGGCCTGGTCTTGAACTCCTGGAACTGATCTTCCCACCTCAGCCTTCCAGAGTGTTGGGATTGCAGGCATGAGCCACCATGCCCAGACCAGATATTCTTGTCAAGTTGAGAAAGTTTCTTCTCTATTCCTTCTTTACTGAGATGAAATTAGCTTTCTTTTGATTAGTCATTGCATGGTATATCTTTGTTCATCCTTTTACTTTTGACCTCTTCACATTCTTATATTTAAGGTTTCATCCTTGTAGGCATGTAAGATTTCCTTTTTTGAAATTCAGTTTTTTCTAAAGCAGAATATTAGCACACTATGTCTAATGTGTTTACTGATAGATTTGGGTTTGAATGTACCATCTTACTAATAATTTTTTTTTTTTTTTTTGAGACGGAGTTTCACTGTTTTTACCCAGGCTGGAGTGCAATGGCACGATCTCGGCTCATCACAACCTCCGCCTCCTGGGTTCAGGCAATTCTCCTGCCTCTCAGCCTCCCGAGTAGCTGGGACTACAGGCGCGCACCGCCATGCCCAGCTAATTTTTGTATTTTTAGTAGAGACGGGGTTTCACCTTGTTGACCAGGATGGTCTTGATCTCTTGACCTCGTGATCCACCCACCTTGGCCTCCCAAAGTGCTGGGATTATAGGTGTGAGCCACCTCACCCGGTCTTACTAATAATTCTTTCTATTGGTTTTCTCTTTCTGTGTTCTTTTCTTTTTTCTGTCTTTTTTCCTTCTTTTGGATGAAGGTTGTTTGTTTGTTTTGGGTAATTTCTCCTTTATTAGCATATGAAGTATACTTTTCCTTTAGTTCTTACCCTAAATTTAACAAGCGTCCTTGACTTATTGAAGTGTATTATAAGTGATCACTTCTACCATTTCCTGGACAACCCAGTGATTATTCAATTATTTTTTTTTTAAATGAAGTCCCCCTCTGTGGCCCAGGCTGGAGTGCAGCGGCACAATCTTGGCTCACTGCAACCTTTGCCTACAAGGTTCAAGCGATTCTCCTTCCTCAGCCTCCTGAGTAGCTGGAATTACAAGTGTACACAACCACGCCAGGCTAATTTTTGTATTTTTAGTAGAGATGGGTTTCATCATGTTTTCCAGGCTGGTCTCAATCTTCTGGCCTCAAGTAATTCTGCTGCCTCAGCCTCCTAAAACACTGGGATTACAGGTGTGAGCCACCATGCCTAGCCTGAGTTTTTAATTTCGTCTGTTGTAGTATTCAGTCCTATAATTTTGTTTTTAAAAAAATAATTCCCAGTTCTCAAATACAATTACCAATCTCGTCATCTATTCTCCTCAGTATTTAATTGTACTGCTTTTGAAGTTCACGTCTGCAAACTCTAATATCTGGTTCTTTTTTTTTCCTTTTTCTTTTCATCAGTTGGTCTTATATTTTGATATTCGTGGTAATTTTTCATTAAGTGCTAGACATTTTAAAAAATGAAATATCGAAGAGATATATAAGGATCTTCCCTCAGACAGGATTTACTTTTGCTTCTGGGGAAAGTAGGCTTGAGATACATTTGACCTTGGGCTTTGTGAGAGCTAGTCTAGTTGTGATTAAACCTTACTCTCGGGTTTCAGCCCTTCAGGGGTTTAAGCTGAAAACACGTTTATATATATATATATATTGCATATGTATTATATATATATATAAACATATATAATACATGTTATAGCATATAAATATATATGTAATATATATAAACATATATTAACATTTATGTTTTATATATAACATATTTTATATATATAATATAAATATATGTATTATATATATAATATAAATATATGTATTATATATAATATAAATATATGTATTATATATATATATATATTTTTTTTTTTTTTTTCTAACCAGAACTCCTCTTTTACGGTGAGCCCTATACCACCAATTTTTGTTAACCAAGCTGTGAGACTTCTGAAAGCTCTACTCAACTTTTCAGCCACTTGGATTTTGTTAGGACTTGGCAGGTCCCTCAAGGGGCTAAGAAGTCTTCAGTGTTCATCTTCTCTCTCTGTACTTTTCTCTTCAGCATCTTGGCCCCTCATGTCCTGACTATGTTGATATTTCTCTGATGCATTCAAACACATCTAAGAAAGGAAAAAAAATTGCTTTTAAACTGCTGTCAGCAAGAGGGTTGGTCTGATGCGAGTTAGTTTGCCATGGTCAGACATAAATCCAACTGTGCCTTCCATGATTATTGGTGGTGGTATTATTTCAAAATCCTTCAAAGAAAGATGTCACCCTGTGGCTAAGAGCCCTTTAAAAATATCAGAGGATGGAGGCTTTTTTGCATCCCTTCTGTGAAGGAGTTTCTAAATTATCAAAGCAGGAAGTGACATTTAAGGAGAAGCTTTTTTTGTGTGTAAAGCACACTATGGCTGGTGCAGGAAGCAGTTCCAAGAAATAAGAAACATGGGGTTTGCTGGGGAAGGAAAGTGGGACCTTGGCATGGGAGGAGGTGAGGAATGCATAGGACAAGGGGAATCTGGGTAAGAGGATGGGTCTAGGGGATACAGAATGAGAATGGCAGTGGGAGAGGACTCTGGACATGAGGTCCAGGAAAGTGAACTGCGTCTTCACCCAATGGATGCCAGTGGGGTCCCCAATGGATCCCATGGGGAAGAGGTGCCACAGTGCAGTGAGCTGACAACACACACATGTGGAAGGAAGCCTCTCTGCTTCCTTCCACCCATAGTTCTTCTCCCTTTTCCTGCTAAATACTGCCAACCTTCTTAATATGGCCAACTGGATGTCCCATAGGACTCTCCAGCTTGGAATAGCCCAAAATTAAGTGATCTGCTGTGTGTTGTCAACTTAGCCTCAATACCACAAGGACCTCATTCCCTGGAATCTTCATTCCTGTATGGTTCTGAGTTAGAATTGTCCAGCTTTGCATGAGAACTATGACTCAAGGCCCACTTCTTCATCCTTACTGCTGCTGCCCGACTTTAGGCCTGTATCATTGTCTGTCCTGATCACCTAGGCAGTTGCTTAATTTGTTTTGTTTTGTTTTGGTAGAGATGAGGTCTTGCTATGTTGCCCAGGCTGATCTCAAACTCCTGGCCTCAAGTGATCCTCCTGCCTCCGCCTCCCATAGTTCTGGGACCACAGGCAAAGCCACTGTGCCTGACCCAGCCTCTTAATTTGATTTCTGTCTTAGTCATGATCCAGTTGGGAGATAGAAACCACGTAACAATTTGAGTATGAGAAGTTTAATATAAGCACTAACTAGAACAGGGGATTGGAGTAATAAAGGCACGGTAAGAAGTCAGGAGAGCTTTAAAGAATGTAGGAATAAGGGACATAGGGAGCAGCCAGCACCCCTAGAACTAAGAAAGAACCTCCCCAGGCTCCATCCCAGCTGAGATCCAGACCTTGCTGAGAAGGGCGTGGTGGTGGCTCACAATGGCAGAGAAGTCTGGGAGAATGTTCTAGAAGTCTGCCCTTGGGTGCCAGGGAAAGCTGTCATGGAGCGCTGTCTGATTAGGGGCACACCTCCTCTTTGTGGAGGACACTAGGAGAAGCTGCTAGTTGCGAAGTGCTACTGACTACCATCTTCTTCAGGATTCCTGTTCTGGAAAAATTGCCTGCACTGTGGGAGGGTGATGCTGGAGAAGCTGTGAGATCTGTGATATTAAGAAGAGCCCAGCACAACCAGAAGGCCCCTTCCTCCTCCAGTGTCTCTAGCACCCCCTCCTGACAGAGGCTAGCATTGTACCAACTGCCAGAGGAAAAATATTTAAAGGGCCAGCTTTGTTTTTGAAGAGCAAAACATTTGGGGTCCAGAGCAATAACTGAATGTTATTCTACCATTGTTGAGGGGCAGCATAACCTTGTGGTTAAGACTGTGGACTCTGTAGTCGAGTTTCTTGAGTTCAAGTCTTCGCTCTGGCACTTAATATAAATTGGTATAAATCTTAAAAGATTTATTTAACTTGAGTCTTGGTTAAATAAATCTGTAAAATCAGGTAGTAATAGTTCTGACCTCATTGGGTTGTTGTGCTGATTGGGTTGATATTTATGAAGCATTTAGAAGAGGACCTGGCACAGAGTAAGCAATGCACCAGATTGTCTATTGTGATTATTATTACGCTGAAGTCCATCCTTCACATTGTAGTCAGGATGGGCTTTCCATTGTAAGTATGAATTTTACTCCACAATCCTATGGCATAGACATCATATTCCTTTATTCTTCCCCTTTCTGAGGTGGGGCAGGCACAGGGAGTGCTAATTAATAAGTTGTCTTCTGGCCGGGTGCGGAAGACATTAGCATTCTCTGTGCCGGCCTCAGGATTACACTCCTGACCTCAGGATTAAACCTGTAATCCCAGCTTTGGGAGGCCAAGGTGGGTGGATCACCTGAGGTCAGGAGTTTGAGACCAGCCTGGCCAAAATGGCAAAACCGTGTCTCTACAAAAAATGCGAAAATTAGCTGGGTGTGGCGGCACATTCCTGTAGTCCCAGCTACTTGGGAGGCTGAGGCAGGAGAATCCTTGAACCTGGGAGGTGGAGGTTGTAGTGAGCTGAGATCATGCCACTACACTCCAGCCTGGGTGACAGAGCAAGACTCCAGCTTAAGAAAAAAAAGTGTTGTCTTCCAACTCACATTGTTCATTATAGTCTGAATGTTAATGTCCCCTCCCCACCCAAATTCATATGTTGAAATCTTAACTCCCAAGGTGATGGTATAAGAATTGGGGCCTTTGGGAGGTTTAGGAGGATTAGGTCATGAGAGCAGAGCCCTCGTGATTGAGATTAGTGCCCTTACAAATAAGCCTGAGAGAGACCCCACTCCCCTCCTGCTATATGAAAACACGGCGAAAAGCACCGTCGGCGAGGAACAGACCCTCACCAGACACTGATTCTACTGGAGCCCTGACCTTGGACTTTCCAACCTTTAAAACTGTGAAATAAACTTCGGTTGTTTGTACGTCACCTAGTTATAGGTGTTATAGTATTTTATTTTAGTAGCCTGAACGGACTAAGGCACTGTTCATAGTACAAAAATCGGAAATCAGGCTTTGTCACTTTGTTGCTTAAAACTCACCTGTGACTTCCCATTACCTTCAAGATAGAGTCCAGCTCCCTTTCCCTGGATACAAAGCTCCTGATGCTCTGCCCATCTCACCTCCCACCAAACTCTGGCTCAGGTTTTCACTTGAGTCATCCAGACTTAGTACCTTGCTACCCTCATGCCCTGCCAGGTCTTGTCTCTATTTTCCAAATTTGCTGATTGAGTTCCTTCCTTCTGGAATATCATCCGCTCTCCTTTTGGCTAACTCCCTTTCAACCTTCAGAAAACTCAAGCACCATCTCCTCCAGGAAGCCTTCCATGAATCCCTGAGTCAGTTGCAAATGCTTCTTCGCCATTTTGCTCTCCAGGTTTTTGCCCTGTTATGTCAAGAGTGATACACTTCTGTGCCTGGCTCCCTGGCTCATGTGGAAACCACATGGGATCTTCTGCATATTACTCATGATTCTATGCTCTGTGTTTCAGCATGAGCAGCGCTGTGTATCTGCACTGGCTACGCATTGCATAACTCTAGGGCTGCTGTTTGCAGTGTTTTTCACAACCTGCCCTGCTCTTCCCTGTGGCCCTGAGCGTCAAATGGAATCACACAGTAGGTGAGCAGAATTATGCCCTCAAGCTCTGGACATTTTTGACAGCAGCCTGTTACACAAACTGGCCTCTCCTAAGGAGCACTTCCTTGTTAGGTTGGTTAGGAGTGACTGAAACAAAATGTGTTGATGTATTAAAATGATAAAACCACATTTCTTTCCAAGAGGTGGCAGGGTATAATTGTTCCATGTTCTTAGGAATCTCAGAGGTAGGGCTGGGAAAGGGAGAAAGAGGAGAGATACATCCTCTGATGTGACCAAGGACTTTAATTGGAGGCAGCTCCCCCCATGGTGGCTTTTTCAGAAGCTGGAGTGACTCTTGCTGGTGGCACAGGGATGGCTCAGACATCTTCTCCTCTTGCAGGGGAGTTTCTGAATCAGTCTTCATGACTCCTGTCCATGGCTCTCTTCCTCATGGAGATGCCCAGCAGCTGTGCAGCCTTGAGAACCAGCATGGGTGCTGCCAGCTAGAATGATCAGGGCCTCCTAAGGGTGCATGCTTTGAGCATCATGCTGGTATCATAGGGGAGGTGTGAATGTCTGTTTGGCACAGCACTATGGAGAGAATTTGTGTTCAGATCTGAAAGAACATGAATAAACATATCCTGGGTAAAGGCTTTGAGTGATGCACGAATAACCCATCTTGGTCATACTTCACTCAGAGACTCCTCAAATCATTCATGGCTTTGAAAATAAGTTTGCTTGCATGAGCTAAGAACGAAGTGAAGCTGGGTAAAGGAGTTGAGATTTTAGAGTTGACTCATTACCTCAGCGTGGCCCAGCTGATCCTAATACACGTCCACAGTTACTGTTTGTCCATGCACTTACACATGGTGCCTCCCTTCCTCCTCCTAAGAGCCTGTGCAGTGGGCAATATATTATTGTTATCCTCATTTTGGAGAGAAGGGATATTATCGTTATCCTCATTTTGGAGAGAAGGATGCTGAGGTTTAGAGAGGGAGGATCAGCGACATGTCCAAGCTCTGTAAGCAGCTGAGGCAGAGTTTAAACTACCATCTAATAAAATTATGGCGAGGCGCAATGGCTCACATCTGTAATCCCTGCACGTCGGGAGGCCAAGGTGGGTGCGTCATGAGGTCAGCCTGGTCCAAGACGAGGCTGGCCAACATGGTGAAACCCTGTCTCTACTAAAGATACAAAAAAAAAAAGTTAGGTGTGGTGGCCCATGCCTATAATCCCAGCACTTTGGGAGGCCGAGGTGGGCAAATCGCAAGGTTGGGAGTTCGAGATCAGCCTGGCACACATGATGAAATCCTGTCTATACTAAAATATAAAATTTAGCCGGGTATGGTGGTGTGCACCTATAATCCCAGCTACTCAGCAGCTACCCAGGAGGCTGAGGCAGGAGAATCGCTTGAACTTGGGAGGCAGAGGTTGCAGTGAGCCAAGATGGTGCCACTGCACTCCAGCCTGGGCAACAGGGCGAGACTCTGTCTCAAAAAAAATAAATAAATAAAAACAAAGTTTAACGAATGCAGTGAATAAATAAATAAATAAATAAACTGCCATGGAGGACTAAAGCCAGTGATTTCAATGAATATCTACTACCTAATAATGAATCTCTAATAACTGATAAAGCCTTTAGGCTGTGTTATTCCAGGCTGGAGTAACTACGCCCTTTCCCTACTCCCAGAAGGCTGAAAGCAATCTGAGAGGGTCCCAGCAGGGGGTGGCCGGGAGGCAGAGGCCCAGAGAAACCATTCAGGTGTTCCTGACACTATTACACACCCACGTCTGGAACCTACTGAAGCACCGTGGATGATGCTGTTGGAGCACCCTTGGACTGTGTAAGCCAACAGTGGTGGAAGAGCCCTCGCCGGCCTTGCAGCAACAACAGATCTTGGACCCCATGTTTTGGTGGGTGGTGGGAGGAGAAAAGGGCACTGGGGCTCCTGGCTTTGCAACTCCAATCCCAGAAAGCCATTGTTATCTAAGTACTGGGTCATACTAGGCCTTCCCCTGCTGTAGCTCCCTGTGGCCAGGAGTTCCAGGCCCACCTGCTTGGGCCCACCACTGTGACGGCCCATCTTTCTTCCACTGTACACATTTCTTCTACCTGTGGAAAGGACTTGGAGCCTCTGCTCTGCCAGTCTTTACCTGTAGCATTGCCTTCTTGAACCGCAGATGTTGGGGGTCTGGCACTATTCTCTGGACAGTGTTATTTTCTAGATGAACTTAAGACTGCTGCTGAAAAATGTGAATTTCTTCTTTGCCAGGTCCTATGGCAGCAGAACGCCGGAGCCGCGGCAGCCCACGCAGACAAGCTCATGTTTAGGAGTCAGATTTGCCTTCCCTCTAGGTGTGTGTGTGCTCTTGGGTTGTAATCTTTTTGTGCCTCACTCTATTTTATTTTATTTACTTATTTTTGAGACAGTCTTGCTTTGTAGCCCAGGCAGGAGTGAAGTGGCATAATCGTAGCTCACTGCAGTCTTGAACTCCTAGGCTTAAGTGATCCTTCTGCCTCAACTTCCTGAGTAGCTAGGGCTACAGATGTGTGACACCACACCTAATTTTTTTTTCTTTTTTTTTTACTTTTTATAGAGACAGGATCTTGCTATTCTGCCCAGGATGGTCTTAAACTCCTGGCCTCAGGTAATCCTCCTGCCTCAGCCTCCCAAAGTGGTGGGATTACAGGCACGAGTCACTGTGCCCAGCCACTGGCCTCATCACTTTCTTATCTGGAAAATGGGAATGGTAATATCACCTTGGAGTCATGAGAGTGTCTGTAAACTGGCCGCTCTGAGGGGAGGTGCTCCACACTGCTTTCCATGCTCATTGTCCTCCCATGTGGCTCAATTATTCCAGTTGGGCCCAGGTGCCATGGGAGCATGATGATGAAGCCCAGCCTTGCTGGTCCCAGTCCTGGCACTGCCACTCACTTGCTATTAATTTTTTTCAAAAAGATTACGATTTATTAATTAGATCTGCTTTTTAATACTCTGGTAAATTCACTGCAACCTTTGCCTCCCAGGTTCAAGTGATTCTCCTGCCTCAGCCTCCTGAGTAGCTGGGACTACAGGTGTGTGTCACCACACCTGGCTAATTTTTGTATTTTTAGTAGAGACAGGGTTTCATCATGTTGGTCAGGCTGGTCTGGAACTCCTTACCTAATGATCTACCCACCTTGGCCTCCCGAAGTGCTGGGATTACAGGTGTGAGCCACTGTGTGTGGCTGCTTTTTTCCCCTTTAATCTCAGAAAGTAATGGGAATAGAAACAGCCACGGTGTCAAGAACACTGACATTCAGTGAGCATTTGGGCAGATCCTTTGACATCGCTGAGCTCATGTCATTTTCATCTCCACATTGCAAGGCAGGATTTTGTCTGATTTTCCGGATGGAGGGAATTGAGCCTCAGAAAGCTGACTTGCTCAAGTGTGGCAGCCAAGAGGAACAGCTGGGATTTTACTGTCATTTTAACTAAAGGCAGAGCTTGTTCTGTCTATGCAATTCCAGAATGAGATGTTCGGAACCAGCTTGACCTCCAAGAGTTGATGGTAAGTGGTTTCTAAGTGGAAAGGCTCCATATGAAGCCTGGCAGAACAGCATCACAGGTAAGAGCACACTTTTTTTTTTTTTTTCACTTAGATGGACTTTGGATCCTAATTCCTCCTGCACCTTGCTGTGTAATTTCGAGCAGTTTAGCCTCCTTGAACCTCAGTTTTCCAGTCTGTACAATGGTATGGTAAAACCTACCCACAGAATGCCATTGTAAGGATCTGGTGACATAAAGATGTCAAGTGCTTTGCAGAATATCTGGCATACAGTAAGCGTTTAATGTCACTGAGATGCTCGCTGGAACGGAGTGTGGTGTTTCTTGCATTACCAATGCCCACCTCTAGAGGGAAGCAGGAGCCAATGAAAAGGGTCCTTGGGTTGTCCACAGTGGGCTGTGAGTTTCAGGTCTCTAGGGACCCCACAGCACTTTGATCAGAGTAAGAAAGATCAATGAGGTCAAACAGGAAGGCTTCTGGAGCTGGGGAAGCCCTTAGGAGTCTTTCAGCACAGGTGAGGAGACTGGGACCCAGAGAGAGAGAAACAGTGGGGTCAAGGCAAGTAAGGGTTCTTATAGCACTTTACTTCTTTTTTTTTTTTTTTTTTTTGAGATGGAGTTTCGCTCTTGTTACCCAGGCTGGAGTGTAATGGCGCGATCTTGGCTCACCGCAACCTCCGCCTCCTGGGTTCAGGCAATTCTCCTGCCTCAGCCTCCTGAGTCGCTGAGCACTTTACTTCTTGCAGCAAAGTGAATAGGTATCCATGAGTGATGGGGACATTTTCTATTTTAGCACAGAAAAATTACCCACCTCTACCCTTAGGTCTAAACTATGAGCCTCACTCACCTGCAGCTGGCAGAGTGGACAGGAGGCTGTCTGTGATGTCACAGAGTGGGGGAACCAGAGAATGTTGGGGACAGTAGGGTTTGGACTGAACCACAAAGGCAAGGAGGAGGGAGGACATATGCTGGCCCTCTCTCCAGTGGTCCATCCCTCTGTCCACCACGCCGCATTGTCCACTGTGCCTATCAGGTCGGCTGGAGAGGTTCTGCCTCACTAGCCAGGCGTGTTCTTCTTGTGGGGCTGCTAGAGGAAGACACAGCAAGCCCCACTGTGAAAACACATTTCTAAGCCACTGCTAGTGTTCTATCTGCCGTGTTTTCATTGGCAAGCCACATGACAATTTAGTTTCTTCTCACCGGGAAGGGGATATGGGTGAATTACTTACTGCTACCTCCTCTCCTGTCCTGGCCTCTGTGCTGTCACGGCAGAAACCTGCCCCAGAGTGGGCTGCAGATTCTCCCGATGTGATTAGATGGAGTCCACCCAGATAACTGTGGATTATCTCCAGGTCACTGATTAGCAACCTTAATTGTATCTTCAACCTTAATCTTTTTCAGTGGGGTCATTATTCTGCCTACCAAAGTCTTAAAACACTTGTATCAAGAAAATAAAAGAATGAAATAAATTCCCAATTCCAAAAGCAGGAAAACATCAACAAGGTAACCAAAATAATGTATAAGATTAAAAGCAGAATTTACCGGAGTATTAAAAAGCAGATCTAATTAATAAATCAAAATCTTTTTTTGAAAAAAATTGACAAAATAGAAATACTATGTAGCTTAATCAGGAAAAAGGGGGAAAAAGCACAAATATATAAAATTAGAAAGAATAAGCTGGAAATAATTGTTGAAACAAAAGAAATTTAAAAAATCTTCAGAGTCCATTATATACTTTTATGTAAAAAAGTTTGAAAAACTCCATGAAGTAGATAATTTCCTGAGAAAATACCGTTTATTAAATTGACTGTGTTAAAGATAGAAACTATTCATTTCTGTAGAATAAATTTATTAAGGAACTACCTTCCCCCAAATAGGACCAAACAGGTCCAGATAATTTGACAAAGAGAGTTTCACCAAGCTTTTAAAGACCAGTTACAGTACTACATAAATTGTCCTAGAGCATATAAAATAAAACTTCCAACTTCTTTTTGTGAAGGAAGTGTATATTGACAACTGCATCTGATAGGGATAATACAAAAAGAGCAAATGACACAGCAGTGTCACCTACCAATACTGATGCAAAAGTACTTAATAAAGTATTAGTGAAGAGAATCCAACATCATAGTATGAAGATAATAAATCAGATGAAACTTATCTGTGGAATGCAAGTTTGATTCAATATGAGTAAAAAAATTATGTGATTTTTTTCCCTTACAGATGCTAAAAAAAAGAAAGAGGGAATTGATGGGTATGACATTAATATGATCAAATAGCACTCTCTTTATCTCTATCTGTATGTCTTTGCCCTAAACTCAACTTCTTCCTTAATGTGCAAATACTGGAGCTGTTTAAAATTAGGAACGAAGCACAGAAATCTACTCGCTTTAACATTGTGCTGGTGGCATCAGCCACTGCAGTTAGATAAGGTAAATCAGAGACATACAAATTAGAAGAAGAAGTTAAAGTATTGCTACTTGCAGATAATATAAGAGAATATAATTACTGGGAAGCCATAGGAAAGAAATAACAAAACGATTCAAACAATGAAAGAATTCAGAAGAGAAGCAAGGCATACATTAGCATACTGAACTCAATAGTATTATTATACACAAGCAATAACTATCTACAACAATAGTGAGGGAGAAAACTCCATTTACAATAGTAACAAAAGATAAAAGACCTAGGAGTAAAGTTAATAAGAAATTTGCAAAATTAATATGAAGAACATTTGAAAATAGCTCTGAAACCCAGAGTAGCTTTGAGCAGATGAAAAGCCATTTGTTGGTGCTTAGGAAGAATCAGTGTTACACATGGGTCAGTTCTTCCTAATTTACAATTTTCCCTAAGTTAATTTATAAATTTGGCACAATCATGATGAAAATAATATCAAGATTTTTTTGTGAAGCTAGACAAATGATCTTAACATTTACATGAAAAAACAAGCAAGAATAAAACAGGCAGACTCCCCAGTGGAGTAGAATAGAAAGTTCGGAAAGAGACACAAATATACATGAAAATTTAGTATATGATAATAAAGGTGTCATCTCAGATGGATAATTGGACCAAAGATATTCTCCTTAATAAATATGCTGAAATGACTATGTAATCATTTGGATAAAATGTTAAGTTAGATCCATACTTCCTAAATACATAACAGTAAATGCCAAATGGAACAGGTTACACAAGTAAATAATAATGCTATACAAGCAAACGAAGAGGTGTGGGTGAATTCCTCTATAAACTGGATGTAGGGAAAGGCTTTCTAATGGGAACCCAAAGTCCAGATTCAATGAAAGATTAATAAATTTGACTTTGAGGAGCTAATATTTTTAGTATATAAAGAGCACGAAAAAACTAATGGGAAAAATACAAAAGAGTGGAAGACATAAATGGATAATTAATTTCTTTTTTTTTTTTGAGATGGAGTCTCACTCTTGTCACCCAGGCTGGAGTGCAATGGCGGGATCTTGGCTCACTGCAACCTCCACTCCCCTGGTTCAAGCGATTCTCCTGCTTCTGCCTTCTGAATAGCTGGGATTACAGGTGCCCGCCACCACATTCAGTTAATTTTTGTATTTTTCATAGAGACAGGGTTTCACCATGTTGGCCAGCTAGTTTTAAACTCCTGACCTCAGGTGATCTGCCTACCTCAGCCTCTCAGAGCGCTGGGACTACAGGTGTGAGCCATTGAACCTGGCTTATAAACTCTTACAGAAGAGAACTTGGCAGCATCTCACAAAACTGTATATGTATTTTCCGTTTGGCTCTAAAGACATACATTGGCCCAGCACAGTGGCTCTTTGGGAGACAGAAGTGGGAGGATCACCTGAGGTCAGGAGTTTGAGATTTGCCTGGCCAGCATGGTGAATCCCCATCTCTATTAAAAACACAAAAATTAGCCTGGGATGGTGGTGGGTGCCTGTAATCCCAGCTACTTGGTGGGCTGAGGCAGGAGAATCCCTTGAACCCAGGAGGCAGAGGTTGCAGTGAGCCACCGAGATGCTACAAATTGGGAAATGTAAACAATTGGTGACTGGGTAAAAGGTAAATGGGAGTTCTCTGTATTATTCTTGAGACATTTCTGTAAATTTGCAATTAATTCAAAAGGTATACAAAAAGCTAAATTTTTTCCTTCCTCCCTCCCTCCCTCCCTCCCTTCCTTCCTTCCTTCCTTCCTTCCTTCCTTCCTTCCTTCCTTCCTTCCTTCCTTCCTTCCTTCTCCTTCCTTCCTTCCTTCCTTCCTTCCTTCCTTCCTTCCTTCCTTCCTTCCTTCCTTCCTTCCTTCCTTCCTTCCTTCCTTCCTTCCTTCCTTCCTTCCTTCCTTCCTTCCTTCCTTCCTTCCTTCCTTCCTTCCTTCCTTTGAAACAAAGTCTCACCCTGTCACCCAGGCTGGAGTGCAGTGGTGCAATCTCAGCTCACTGCAACCTCCGCCTCCTGGGTTCAAGTGATTCTCTTGCCTCAGCCTCCCTAGTAGCTTGAGATTACAGGAGTGCACCACCATACCAGGCTGATTTTTGTATTTTTAGTTGAGATGGGGTTTCACCATGTTGACCAGACTGGTCTTGAACTCCTGACCTCAGGTGATCCACCTACCTCAGCCTCCCAAAGTGATGGGATTACAGGTGTGAGGCACTGTCTCCAGTCAAAAGGCTAAAGTTTTTTTTTAGATGGAGTTTTGCTTTTGTTGCCCAGGTTGGAATGCAATGCCCAGGATCTTGACTGCAACCTCTGACTCCTAGATTCAAGTGATTCTTCTCCCTCAGCCTCCTGAATAGCTGGGATTACAGGCATGCACCACCGTGCCTGGCTGATTTTGTATTTTTAGTAGAGACGGGGTTTCTCCATGTTGGTCAGGCTGATCTCGAACTCCCTACCTCAGGTGATCTGCCTGCCTCGACCTCCCAAAGGGCTAAAGTTTCAAAGCTTAGTTAGATGTGATAATATATTTAAAAATGATCAGACATTATTTGATAAGGGGGAAAGGAAAAGAGGGGAGATGTCCTCTGATGTGACCAAGAACTTTAATTGCAGGCAGCTCCTCCCATGGTGGCTTTTTCAGGAGCTGGAGTGACTCTTGCTGGTGGCACAAGGATGGCTCAGACGTCTTCTCCTCCTTCAGGGGAGTTTCTGAATCAGTCTTCCTGACTCCTGTCCACCGCCCTCTTCCTCATGGAGACACCCCAGCAGCTGTGTGGCATCAGGAACCTGCATGAGTGCTGCCAGCTAGAATGCTCAGGGCCTCCCAATGAGACACGGCTGGAACGGCCAGTGTTCCCGGCTGTAGCGGTTTAAGTTTCTCTTGTAAAAATTTCTTTGGGAAGCATATGCATTCAGATCTGAAAGAAGAAAGGAAAAAATTATGCTGCGTGAAGTCCTTTGAATTGGGCTTGGATGAACTGTTCAGGTCGTTCATATCCACTGCTGATCTTTCCTCAGATATTTGAATCCCAAGGGACCCAAGGCAGCCCCCCCTAGCCTAGGACTTGAAGGTCTTTTGTGATAGGAGAAATTTCTTGCAGCGTGTTTTTTATTGTGCTATGCTGGTAGCTTCAGTAATGGTAGGGTGTCTTGCAAAACACAGTGACATGGAAAGTAGGAGACTTGGGCCCATCCTGACTCCGACACTTACGTCATTCCCTAGTGCACTCATGAGAAGTCCCTTTTCCTCTGTGAGCCTCAGCCTTGTGGCAGGTGGTAAGGGCAGAGGGAAGGAGTTAGGTGAGCTAGGGAGGCTCCTACCTTCTCAAGCTTGATTCAAGCAGAGCTGTTCCTCTTTGATCTTTTATAGTAATTGGACTCTGCGAAATTTTGTTTTCAAGGGGGTTTAGTAGTTTAGGAGAATTCAAAATGACTGGGTTGGATAATCCTTAGTTCTCAACAGGACTCCTGGGGTGGCTGTGAGTTATGTGAGGCCACCTGGGCATAGAGTTGGTGCCCAGCAGTGTGGCTGCATTTCTTCTTCCTGGGATGTGCCACTGTTCTGGGATTGGGCATCTGTTCTTCCATGACCCAGAGGCATTTCACCCTGAGCTGAACTACACTCAGTCCATAAGTATTTTCTGGTATGCTTTACTTGCCATGAACCTGGCTGGATCTAGGGAAATAACAGGGAACAAAACTGACGTGGGCACTGCCTTCCTGGCACTTACTGTCTAGTGGCCAAAGTAGATATCAAGTAAGCATATAAAAAATACACTTATGGGGCCAGGTGCCATGGCTCACGCCTGAAAAATACACTTTTGGGGCCAGGTGCCATGGCTCACGCCTGTAATCCCAGCACTTTGGGAGGCTAAGGTGGGTGGATTACAAGGTGAGGAGTTTAAGACGAGCCTGGCCAAGATGGTGAAACCCTGTCTCTACTAAAAATACAAAAATTAGCCAAGCATGGTGGCGCATGCCTATAGTCCCAGCTACTCGGGGGTGCTGAGGCAGAGAATTGCCTGAATTCAAGAGGCAGAGGTTGCAGTGAGCCCAGATCATGCCATTGCACTCCAGCCTGGGTGACAGAGCAAGACTCCATCTCAAAAACAAAACAAAGCAAAAAAACAAACAAGCATAAACTTATAAGAAGATAGATGCCACCAGGTACAGTGGTTACACCTATAATCCCAGCACTTTGGGAGGCCAAGGTAGGTGGATAACAGGAGCTAGAAACCAGCCTGGCCAACATGGTGAAATCCTTTCTCCACTAAAAATGCAAAAATTAGCTAGGCTTATTGGTGGGTGCCTGTAATCTCAGCTATTCAGGAGGCTGAGACTGGAAAATCGCTTGAACTTGGCAGGTGGAGGTTGCAGTGAGCCGAGATTGGAGATTGTACTCTAGTCTGGACAACAGAGGGAGATTCCATTGGAAAGAAAGAAAAAAGTAAAGAAAGAAAGAAGAAAGAAAGAAAGAGAAGAAAGAAAGAAAAGATGATGCTGCAAAGCCGTGGAAGGAAAATATGGATGTGTGCCCTTTCCCCCCAGACCTGATCCTCCTCATGCACTTCCTAGCTTGGAAGATCTTGGAGTCAGGTCATAGACTCTGGGGTCTCCCCAACATGCTCTGGAATATGACTGCAGCTATTTGATGGGAGTGATTCCATCTTTCCATCTCACTTAGCGGAAATATCAATGGGGTCTGGTCATCAGTATCAGGCCCTCTGTCTGGGGGTGTCTGGTCAGTGTTAGGACCCCAATTTGGGGCTCACCCTCAAACTCACTGCTGCTGGAGGAAGCTCTCTTTTTCAGCTGGATCAGGGGTTGTCTCGAAGGCAAATGGGAGGCTGCATTAATGTGCTTGGGATTTTGTCTGTCAAGCTCGTTCTTCTGAAACTGCAAATCTGGCAATGAGAATTCCACAGAGTTCCGTGGGGAGGCTTAGGTGAGATCATGGAAGTGAAGGTGTTTTGCAAGCTCTGAAGCCGCACACACAGGCAAGTGGTGGTTATTATGGGGTGGGGGCAGACCTGAAACTACCACCTCCTGTCCTCTGAGGACTTTCCCTCACAGGCAGGTGCTGGATTCAAAGTGTGTATTTAAAAAAACACATTATATTTGTATATATTTATGGGGTACATGTGAAATTTTGTTACATGCATAGAACATGTAATGATCAAGTCAGTGCAAAGTATGTATTCTTTTTAAAATGTAAACATTTTTCTATTTATAAATGTAATGCATACTCTTCATATAAAAGTTAGGAAGGCTGGGTGTGGTGGCTCATGCTTGTAATGCCAGCACTTTGGGAGGCCGAGGTGGGTGGATCACAAGGTCAGGAGATTGAGACTATTCTGGCTAACACTGTGAAACCCCGTCTTTACTAAAAATACAAATAATTAGCCAGGTGTGGTGGCACGTGTCTGTAGTCCCAGCTACTCGGGAGGCTGAAGCAGGAGAATCACTTGAACCCAGTAGGTGGAGTTGCAATGAGCTGAGATTGTGCCATTGCCCTCTGGCCTGGGTGGCAGAGTAAGACTCTGTCTCAAAAAAAAAAAAAAAAAGTTAAGAAATATTGAATAGTATGAAGGAGGAAAAAAATACCCCAAACACCTCTTCCTCGTTATTATCACAGTTCCAGTCGTTTCCTATCCGTATTTTACATAGTCCATCATATCCTATGTATTATGGATGAATTTTACTTATTTATTTCTTTTTGTGACAGGGATCTGCTCTGCTGCCCAGGCTGGAGTGCAGTGGTGTGATCATAGCTCACGGTAACCTCAAACTCCTGTGCTCAAACAATCCTTCTACCTCAGCCTCCTGAGTAGCTGGGACATAGATATGTGTCACTGCACCCAGCTAATTTTTAAAATTTTTTGTAGAGAGCAGGAGTCTCGCTGTGTTGCCAGGCTGCTCTTGAACTCCTGCCCTCCAGTGATCCTTTAGCCTTAGCCTCCCAAAGTGCTAACATCACAGAAGTGAGCCACCCCACCCAGCCCTTTACTTGGCTTTATTCATATACATTATAGCATAAACATTTTTCTCATGTCACTAAATTTAAAAAAATGGTTGTACAATATTCTAGTTTTTGAGTAATATATGATTTATTTAACTAAAGTTCTAATGTTGAAATTTTTGTTGTTTTTTTTTGAGAGAGAGGTCTCACTCTGGCACCTAGGCTGGAGTGCAGTGGTGCAATCATTACTTACTGCAGCCTCTACCTCCTGGGCTCAAGCAATCCTCCTACCTCAGCCTCCTGAGTAGCCAAAATTACAGGTGTGCACCACCATGTCTCGGTAACTTTTTATTTTTTGTAGAGGTGGGATCTTCCCATGTTGCTCAGGCTGGTCTTGAACTTCTGGGCTCAAGTGATCCTCCTGCCTCCCAAAGTGCTGGGGTTACAGGTATGAGCCACTGCACCTGGCTCAAATTTTGCTGCTATAAATACTATTGTGATGAACATTGTTGTATATGAGACTTTGTCTTTATATACTCTTAGGTTTCTAGAAGTATATAGGTTTCAACAAATAATTTTGTCAACAGTCTGAGCTGTGTTCTGTAATACACAGCCCTGTCATTTATTAGCTGCATACCTTGACTAATTGCTTACCACCTACCTGCCTCTCCATTCATATCTGAAAATGTTCAATTTGAATACTAATGCCCACTTCTTAGAGTTTTTGTGGGGATGAAGTAATATCAATTGGCTGGGGGCAGTGTTTCATGCCTGTACTCTCAGCACTTTGGGAGGTTGAGGCGGGTGAATCACGAGGTCAGCAGTTCACGACCAGCTTGACCAACATGGTGAAACCCCATCTCTTCTAAAAATACAAAAATTAGCTGGGCATGGTGGTGCATGCCTGTAATCCCAGCTGCATGAGAGGCTGAGGCAGGAGAATTGCTTGAACCTGGGAGGTGGAGGTTGCAGTGAGCCGAGATCACACCACTGCACTCCAGCCTGGGCTACAAAGTGAGTCTCCATCTAAAAAAAAAAAATCATTTTACTGTTAAAATGTGAAATATACACTCTGAAACAGTAAGGGATTTATCTGACCACAGCTGGGTCCCCAGTGCCTAGACAGTGCTTTGCATGTTATAGGGTCTCAGTAATTATCATCATTCTTACCTTGGGAAAAGGCATTGATATTTGTAAGGTTCTTGATTTTCATTGTGACTCTACTTCAAGGGGAAGTATTTTAAATACGCTCACATGTGGATTTCTGTCAAAATACACCTTTGTACTGTCCTGTCTCTCAATGGGACTCTACTAGGTTCCCGGCCATCTGTGCTCACACCCTCCCACCTGTGTGAGTCTTAGCTTTTCCTGACTGATCTTGAAAATAATGCTTCTTCTTCTTCTTCTTCTTTTTTTTTTTTTTTCTGTCTGAAATTGTTGATTTTGTTCCCTGATCTTCTCTGCTTGACCTCTTCTCCTGGACCTTCAAGAAGGATTTGAGGCCAAGCACGGTGGCTCATGCCTGTAATCCCAGCACTTTGGGAGGCCGAGGCGGGTGGATCACAAGGTCAAGAGATAGAGACCACCCTGGCCAACATGGTGAAACCCCGTCTCTATTAGAAATACAAAAATCAGCTGATTGTGATGGTGCACACCTGTAGTCCCAGCTGTTTGGGAAGCTGAGGCAGGAGAATCACTTGAACCCAGGAGGCGGAGGTTGCAGTGAGCCGAGATCACACCATTGCATTCCAGCCTGGGCAACAAGAGTGAAACTCCGTCTCAAAAAAAAATAAATAAAATAAAAAAGAAGGATTTTATTATAAACTGAAAGCCAGGGTGCTGCCTTCTCTGTGTTTCTTTCTTCCCTTGACATGGTAACTTAGGAAGCTTCATGTTTCAGATGCCCTGGCTAAAGATGAAAAAGGGATGGCTGGTTTATACTAGACTTTGTGTGAGCAAGATATGCATTTTTATTTCGTAAACCATTGAGATTTCAAGGCTTATTTGTTTTAGCAGCAGAACTTATTCTATGCTGATCAATACCTATACATTGTTTCTGTATGTTGAGTGCCTACTCTGTGCTGGGCCCTGAGCTAGGTGCTTATTTATATTGCCTCATTTTACCCTCCCAAATGATTCTGAAAAATAATAATGTATTGTGAATCTCTCTATTTTACAGGTAAGGACAGTGAGGCTCAGGGAGATCAAGTGACTTGCCCAACTTCTGTGGTAGAGCTGAGATTTGAATTAGCATGTATTGCTCTCAAAACAGGGATCTTCACTACTATTTGTATAGTCTTTAATTCAGTGCTTTTTAAAGTATAATGCACACTCAAATTTACCTGGAGACCCTGTCAAAGTGCCAGTTCTGATTCAGTAGGTCTGGAGCAGGGGTTGAAAACGCATTTCTAACAAGCTCCCAAGTGATGCCAATACTGCTGGTCCATAGCCTACAGTTTAATTACAAGAGTTTAAGTTCTCTTGTTTATTGGTTGAGGATTTAGCCATCCAACACCCACATCATTTTAAATTGGAATTATCACTCAAAAGATGAAGGCAGTCTGGGGGTATCAAAGCAGGCAGAGAGTGAGCACGATGAGGTTTAGAGAGGCCATGCAGAATGTCCCTATCTGATACCTACTTTGGGTTGATGGCTTGTGCTGTTGGGGTTGACTGCGAACCTTGGAGTCTTGGATGACATAGGGCTCCCGACAGTCCCTGCAGCATAAACAGAAGATCTTCGAGATCAGGTTTTGGTGGGCTGCTGTTGGAGGTAAAGGAATGAGGGTCATGGATTCTGGAATCTGAATTCCAGATGCCCATTGGAAATTGACTGTGGTGGGGGTATCATTGGGACAGCCTCTCCCAAGGTACTAATACTCCTCCCCTCTCCCAAATCTTCTGTAGCTTCCCTTGGCCAGCAGATCCAGGCCCTTCTGCCTAGGCCATTTTTCCTATTCTGTACAAAGTTTTCTTACCCATGGAAAGGAGTGGAAACCTCTACTCTGCCAGCTTTGTTTGCAGGGGTGACTTGGTGAATCAGCCAATCTTGAGTTTGAGCCCAATTCACTGGGCTGGGCTGTTTCCTAAATAAACATAAGACTGTGGCTGAAAAATGCTCATCCTGTACCTGTGTTCACACTCCAGGTAGGATCTGATGACAGGAAAATCCCACCTCATGCAGACATGCATGTAAACATGCTGAGGTTTCAGACAGCTCTGTGTCCTACCCCACTCATAGGTTCATGTTCTTGGTAGATTACTTACCCTTTCTGAGCTTCACTTTCATCATGTGAAAAATGAGAATACTCCAGCAGTGTCTACTTTGCCGGAGTAAAGAATCAAATATAGGAAAACTAATCCCTGTGGTTCTAGGTATACAATAAGTGTTCAATCAATGGTCATTCCATTTCCCTCCTTTCTCTTCATGTAGCTCACTGGCTTCAAATTATCCCAGCTGGTCCAGGTTCTATGGTAAGGAAGCGTATAGAGTTGTAGGTTTAAATTCTGGTTTTGCCACTAATTTACTGGAGGGCTTGAGTAGGTCCATGCTTCTTTCTGGGTCTCAGGCTCCTCATCAGTAATAAGAAATTAGGCTAGATGACCCCCTCAAGGATATTTCTAGTTTTGAAGGTCCAGGATTATAAGGCCTTGCTTTAGTCCCAAATTCCTTTATTTGTATATCAACTTTTCCAAATCTCTGTGTACATTCTGTTCTCACTCCCCTTGTGCCAAAACCAGCCTTTAAAAGGAAACTCCTATCGTGGTATTGGGTAGGCATCCCTCACAATACCTAATTCACTTCACTTTGTGAGCTTTGCCTTCACTATAGTCGCTTGAGTCTCACTTTCTCTACTGCTATACCCTGGCCTGAGCCACCATCATCTCATCCCTGAATTATTGCAATAGCCTCCTAGCTGGTCTCCTTATTTTTCTTACCCTGGCTTCCTTCATAATTAATACAAAAGCTGGGGTAGTTCTGTTAAAATGTATCATGTTACCCTTCAGCTCAAAACTTCCAAGGATTGGAAAAAATGGGTATAGTAGATGGAGAGATATAGTATGGAAGGAAGAAATGGAAACACAAATAGAAATTCTAGTTCTTTTTTTTTTTTTTTTTTTTTGAGAGGGAGTCTCACTCTGTCACCCAGGCTGGAGTGCAGTGGTGTGATCTTGGCTCACTGCAACGTCCACCTCCTGGGTTCAAGTGATTCTCCTGCCTCAGTCTCCTGAGTAGCTGGGACTACAGGCATGTGCTACCACACCTGGCTACTTTTTGTATTTGTAGTAGAGACAGCGTTTCACTATGTTGGCCAGGCTGGTCTCGAACTCCTGACCTCGTGGTCCACCTGCCTCAGCCTCCCAAAGTGCTGGGATTACGGGCATGAGCCACTGTGCCTAGCCAAAATTCTAGTTCTATACAAACCAGTAGCTGAAGAAAATATGTATTGGGTAGGGTTAACAACAGATTGGACAAAGTTAAAGCAATGATCTGTAAACTTGCAAAAAGTTCAATAGAAATGATCCAAACTGAAGCAGAGAAAGAAAAAAAGATTAAAAAAGGATGAGGAGTACATCACTGACCCGAGGTGTCAAACATACACATGTGACTGGACTCTCAGAAGGACCAAAAGCAGAAAAAATATTTGAAGCAATCGTGACTGAAAATTTACCAAATTTGATGGAAAGCATCAACATAAGTACTCAGTGGGCACCAAACATGAAAAACAAAAAGAAAATCACACCCAGGCTCATTTTAGTCAAATGGCTAAAAATGAAACTAAAGAACAGGATCTTAAAGCAACTGAAATAAATAAGGATGAAATAAAGAACCTGTAAACCTTTTACTTCATATTCCGTGAAAATATCCTTCAATAATTAAGGCAGCACGAAGACTCTGTAAGATAAACAAAAATAGAATTTGTCTTTAGAAGACCCAGGCTGTAAAAAATATTAAAAGATCAAAGGAAAATGATACCAGATGGAAATTCACATTTACAGAAAGGGATGAATAGGATAAGAAATGGCAAATAGTGAGGGGTAAATGGAAACTTTTTTTTTTTTTGAGACAAAGTTTCACTCTGTCACCCAGGCTGGAGTACAGTGGCGTGATCACAGCCACTCCTGGGCTCACGTGATCCTCCTGCTTCAGCCTCCCCAGTAGCTGCGACTCCAGGCATGTGCCACCACGCCTGGCTAATTTTTGTATTTTTTGTAGATTCAGGGTCTCGGTATGTAGCCCAGGCTGGTCTTGAACTCGTGGGCTCAAGTGATCCTCCCACCTTGGCCTCAAAAGGTGCTGTGATTGCAGGAGTGAGCCACTGCACCTGGCCAAAAATATTTTTTTCTCTCAGTCTTTCTTTTCTCCAAAATTGTTCAGTGGTTTTGCATATTCCTCAGAAGAAAAACCAAAGTTCTCACCTGGGTCTTAAGATATTCTGTAATCTAATTATCCTTCTTCCCTCCTCCTCCTGCCTACCCACAACCTTCATCACCAACTCAGTGTTTAATTCCTTCAGTTCCCTAATTCCATTTGCCCCCTTGCTGAGTTTTAAAACATAGTAATCTCTCAACTCAGAAATTTGTGCTTGTTTTACTCTCTGCCTGGAATGAGGTTCTCTTAGATAACAACATTCTGTCATTACCTTCAAGTGTTTGCTTAAATGTTACCTTTTCTAGTGAGACTTTCTCCGTCCATTGTATTTAATATTATACCCCCTTGTACTTCCTAATCTCTTCCTCACTTCTTTTCAGGCCCTTCCTTCCTTCCTTCTTTCCTTCCTCTCTTCTTTCTTTCTTTCATCTTTCACAGGGTCTCACTCTATGCTCAGGCTGGAGTGCATGCAGTGTCACAATCATGGTTCACTGAAGCTTTGAACTTCTGGGTTCCTCCTGGCTCAGCCTCATGAAAAGCTGGGACTAGAGGTGCATGCCCCCAAGTCCAGCAAATTCTTAATATATATATGTGTGTGTATATATATATTTTAGAGGAGGGGTCTCACTCTATTGCCTAGACTGATCTTGAAACCAAGTGATCCTCTCATGTCGGCCTCCCAAAGTGCTAGGATTACATATGTGAGCCACCATGCCCAGCCTCATTTTCTACACTCTATATAATTTGCTACGTTACTATGTTTAGGGTCTGCTTCTCCCCACTAAATTATAAGTCACACGGAGTCATGGATTTCAGCTGTTTGGTTTTCTGCTCTGTTCTCAGTGTCTAGAGCAGTACCTAGCAGAGTCCGGGAGGTAAATAATTGTTTGTAGAATAAAAATCGATGGTGTTTATAGAATAAACTAGCATCTGTTCTTGTTTTGAGTAGAAGTGTTTGCAGGCCCTGAGGGCAGCAGAGAGATGGGTGGTAGTTTTTGCGCCAGAAACATCACAAGCTGTAGGACATAGCTTACCTCATTCACGTGCTAAGCTGACTGATTATTGCATGAGTCAATTTTAGTTCTGCTCTGTTTGCTGGTTGGGACTATTTTTCTTTCCTGTTCACTGCAAAGCATATCTATCTTCTTCCCATGTTCCCTACTTTATAAAATGATCCTACTATTCACTCTGTCTTTAGAGCCAGAAGCCTCCTGCCATCTGCTTACATTCATCAGTCTTTGAACTTTCCAAATACGTCTTCAATCTGTCTGCCCAATCAATCCTTTGCCATTTCCTTCACTGTAGTGTAAGCCACCATTACTTCTCACCTGGACCACTGCTAAAACTTTCTCATTAGCTTGTTTGCCTGCACTTAAAGCTAGAGTTATCTGGTAGACACGTAAATCTTATCTCTTCTGTCCCAACAACCCACCGCCCCAACAAGGGGGTCCCCAAGTCTGCAGATCTAACTCCTTTTGTGATCCCCACTGTTATTCTCTTCAGCCTCATCCTCTCTGGGTTGCACTCACTGCCCTACAGCCACAAGAGATGCTGTATAGGCAGCTCCCCCAATGACCTTTTACTGCATGGATCCTGTTCACATCCCACTCCCTCTACCTGGGATGTTCTTTCCTCAAATCCTTCACTCATCAAACTTCAGGATTCAGCTCAGGGGCTGCAGGAAGCCTGGGATGAGTTAGGAGTCCCTTCCTTGTGCTCCCACAACACTCCTCATTAGCCCATCATGTTTTTCTATATCACAGCCTGTTATTGTACAGTGACTGCCTAACTCATGGTAAATGCTCAATAAATACTTGTTGAAACATTGTCTTGTGATTGCCTATTGTTAATAGTCTGGATACCAGTTAATGAGCTTTTTTCTTTTTCTTTTTTTATTTTTGAGACAGGGTCTCACTCTGACACCTGTGCTGGACTATAGTGGCACCATCAGGGCTCAACCTCCCAGGCTCAAGTGATTTCCCTGCCTCAGCCTCCTGAGTAGCTTGGATTACAGGTTTGCACTACCATGCCTGGGTTATAGCTTTTTTGTTTTTGTTTTTGTTTTGGTAGAGATGGGATTTTGCCATATTGCCCAGGCTTATCTCAAATTCCTGGGTTCAAGTGATCTGCTTGCCTCAGCCTTCAAAAGTGTTGGGTTATAGGCTTGAGCCACTGAGTTCAGTCGAGCTTCCACCCCACCCCGCTTCATTTATTTAACATATATTTACTGAAAACCTGCCAGGTGCCCGGTACTGTTAGGTGCTGGAGATATAGCAGTGGACAAGATACAAGATAGACAAATGTCCATGGAAGCAGGGAAAGTATTTTATTCACTGTTGCCTCCTCAGCACTTAGCCCAGGGATGGGCACAGAATAGGTACTTTATACAGATTTGTTGAATAAACACATGAACCTTCTCTGACTGTCAGATAAAAACTGTATGCCCAACAGATCTCCTTTCTCTCTTTCACTAATTGATCTTCAACTTTCTGCACATAAGCTGTTCCATGTGGTTAGGTACAATGCAGGATGGACACATATAGATGTCCCCATTGTGTGGATTTTTGGATGAAGAGGGAGCACTTACGAGGTCCATTTAGCCCCAGTCACCAGTAGTCTTCTGGATCTGCTGCCAGGTGAGTTTTTTTTCCCCCATAGACCTAGTGTCAGTGGCATAGTATTTTTTTTTTTTTGAGATGTAGTCTTACTCTGTTACCCAGGCAGGAGTGCAATGGCATGATCTCGGCTCACTGCAACCTCTGTCTCCTGGGTTCAAGCGATTCTCCTGCTTCAGCCTCCTGAGGAGCTGGGATTACAGGCACCTGCTAATTTTTGTATTTTTAGTAGAGATGGGGTTTCACTATGTTGTCCAGGCTGGTCTCAAACTCCTGACCTCAGCTGATCCACCTGCCTCCCAAAGTGCTGGGATTACAGGCATGGGCCGCGCCCAGCATTTTTTTTTTTTTTTTAACATGATTGAGCTCTGATGTATTTCATTGAGGTCTCTTTAGTGGATTTATTTCATTTTCCTAAATTTATAAAGAAATAGAAATTTATATAGGCAGTTAGGTCTTTTGCTTTGGAGATGTGCCATTTAGCAAATATCCTTGCTGTTAATCTGCTTCTTATTCTGCTACTTGCTTTAGTTTCAATTGTCTTCATCCACTTATACAAATGCTCGCCTCCCAGGGTTTGGCTTGTTCCACTGCCTTGAGTATGCTGAATGTGGAAGGAAACGCTTCATAAGAAAGGAATGGAAGCACAGCTCTGACAAGCCCCAACATGCGTCAGCCTGAGAACTAGCGGTTGGAGTTCTGTTGGATTGGTAATGGATTTGTCTAAAAGAAATCACTAAACCTTGGACTTGGGTCCCTCTAAACCTTCATGAGCATGTGTTCTGTCTTGATAAATCACAAAAGAAGGTCACTTTCCTTTAGCTGATATTCTGGAATCAGTCATTTTCAGGTTGCTGATCATATGGCCTCTTTTAGGCTCTGCTTGGCCAAGAAATTCAAGACACGGTGCACAAGAAGAAACTGTTGATCAATTGTAGTGTAGTCTTTTCTGCTTGTCATGGTCTCATCTGCATTAAGGTTGTTGCCTTTTCCTGGAGAAACTCTGTATATATACTCCCACTATAGGTACTCTCATGTATTTGTCATAATAAATGGCAAAAGTTCATAGGTGACTTAGAATTGCCGTAGCCATTATGACAAAGTTTTGATGTCAAAAGTAATATTTAAGAGGCACTCTAGAGAACAGAGAAGACAAAAATGCCAAACATCGAATAGAAGGGTTCTTTGCCTGGAATACGCTGGCCTCAGGAAGAAAAAAATAAAAAAGAAAGACCTTGCTTCTACTCAGACCTTCTGATACCTACTTTCGTTGCTTCTGTTTCTCTCTACCCAACTTCATCTTTACTACCCATATATACTCCTCTTATTCCTTCCCCTGGCTGCCTAAATAAACTTTTCCAGGGAGCATTTTTTTTTTCTAGAAAAGAACAATCACAAACACAAAGCACAATACCCACCTAAAACTTCTACACTGAAGGTGGATCCAGAGAGGCTGAATTTAAACTCTGAGTAAGAGTTGAGTTGACTGAAAATAGAATCTTCTCAAATTTCAGAACAAAAGAAAGTTTGTTTTGTATATCCTGTATAATTCAGGATTCTGTTCATTACTTATTGTCTTGGACCATCATATGTGTACTAATTAGTTCATTTTGTTGTTGACCTTCAGGCAAGGCACAGTGGCTCACGCCTGTAATCCCAGCATTTTGGGAGGCTGAGACAGGAAGATTGCTTGAGTTTCAGAGTTTGAGACCAGCCTGGACAACATACCACATCTCTACTAAAAATCAAAAAGATTAGCTGGGCATGGTGGTGTGCACCTGCAGTGCCAGTTACTCAGAGGCTGAAGAGAGGATTGATTGAACCTGAGGCATCCATGCTCCAGTGAGCTATAATCATACCACTGCACTCTAGCTCAGGCAACAGGAGATCTTGTCTCAAAAATAAATAATAAATAACAAATAAAAATAAAAAAATTGTTGTCCTTCCACAATGGGGAAAATGTTTAAGAGTAGCAGGATGAAAAAGATCGGAAGATTCAAACAACCCATCTATGCATAATTTTTTAAAGAATTAAAGAATGGACTTGAGAAGGTAAGAAAAATAGGAAGCGCTCCACATGAAACTATTTCAAAAGATTTTCTCTTAAGGGCAGATAGGGCAAAGATTCAAAATCACAAACAAATGATGCATCCATAGGTGACTTAATAGACTTCAGGACACTTTCAAAGGACATTTGGGGGCAAATACAGAGTATAAGTAAAAGGAGCCCTTTCTTCTTGTTATTTGAAAGGCTCATATCTAAAATAGGGGATTTAGAAAAATATCAATTGAAATGGGAAATTTCATTAGGGTAGGTATCTTGGTCTTTTTCAGAGTCCTAAAATATTAACTAGAAATCAAAATAATCTTACAGCCTACTAGATAAAACAACTGGCCCCTGAAATAAAGACAGGACCCAAATCTCTCTGTTCTTTAAGAATTTGGAGTCTGTGGAAAGCACTTGCACTTAACTGTATGCAGAAAGGCCATTGGAAGAACTAATGTTCCCTGTGAGAGAGATAGTTGTCTGTATCTGTCTGCCGAGTCTCTCTGAGGAGACCTTTGCACTTAACACTCCTATCTTGCCTCTAAACTTCCAAGGGCATTGTCTGTACATATAGATGAACAGCTATACTGCTTGCTTGTTGATATGGTTTGTTTCTTATGTGGAAATCAGACTCTCCTATGCCAGCTATGATTAAGACTAATTGTTCTGCATGCTGAATATTTAGACCATCCCAATGCATGATTCTCCACCACCCACGGCGGACTATGTCTTCGTACAGAGAGTCTGAAGGGATGAAACCCTTCTTTGGGCTTTAACTCCTGGTAGATGAAATAGACTTCTGCGGATTCTGAGTTGAACAATATAAAGTGCCTTTTTCCCCCTTACCGTGACTGACATAGTAAATCATACAGCCCATATCCTAGGGTACAACTGACCAATTTGAAATCCTTAGCTCAAGTATTTATGGATCATAGAAACCTTTGAGTTTGATTTTAGCTAATTAGGGGAGACGGCACCATTGTTAACACTCCCTGTTGTGCCTGGGTTAATATCACAGGTGAGGTTAATCTATAGCTACGCCCAAAGAAAAAGCAGCTTGGCTATCGAAGGTAGATGGTCATGCCAGGCAAATCATAAGGCATGATTCCAGAGAGAGTTTCAGATCCTTTTGAAAATACTTTTAATTATCATTCTTTTGTTCTGTTGTCCAGAGAGCTGAATGCTTTCATGTAGACTCTGGTATGACAAATGATGCAACAAATGATTCAAAGACAAAAATGAGAAGAAATGAGGCAGACTGATACTCAAAATGAAAACCAGATCTCTGTAAATGAAAAGATGAAACTTGTTCTCAAGGAAAGCCAACGGCAGTGAGGATCTGGACAATCTTGGAGGGTCTTTTCTGCAGCTTTGGTTGAGGGAGGACCAGAAGGCAGAGAATAAGAATAAAAAGAGAAGCTCCCGCATTCCTAGGTAACAATGGATTGCCCTGTAACCATGGTTACACCAAATCTCCAGAACCTGTGTGACACCCTTTAGTCAATTAATGAAACTCCCTTGGTAACCGTTCTAACAGATGCATGCTGGGAGGTACACTTCATAGCGAAAGGTCTGCCACTCCTAAGCACTGCTGCCTATGAAACACCACCAGTCCATGAACGCAACACCTCCCAAAGCCCCTTGTACATCAGCCATGAGCCTTGTTCAGAGACTGCCATACAAGCACAGTTCTCCCTTTTTTAACCAGAAATAAATTCAGTTTTGGTTTCATACAGTGAATGGAGGCATCCTCCACCAAAGCAGCTTATGGGTATACAAGAAAATATAGTTATGCAAATTCTCTCTTTTTAATACAAATGGTAGCTTATTATACACCATGTTTTGCACCTTGATTTTTTTTTCCAATTAAAAATGTACCATGGAGATCATATTATCAGTCAGCAGGGATTTGAAGCATAGGTTTGTTGGCACCGCACGCTGATGCTCTCTCCATGTCTTTACTAGACAATTTCACAAGAAAGAGGGTAGTAGAACCACTTTCTCCTCTGAGTGTTGGCAGCAGAGAGCTTTGAACTTTTGAACCCTCTTCAGAAGAAACAAAAAGGCTCTTAGGGAGAGCAGTGTATAAGTTACAAGTATATTCTCTGGGGTATAATTCTTGGAGATCTGTTAGATAGGAAATTTAGAAGAATTTATGACCTTTTTGAATCTCCGTTTTCTGACCTGTAAAATGGGGATGGTGGTAATAGTATCTACAATAGAAGGTAGTTCTGAGGATTACAGAATGATGGAAAGTGCTCAGCACAGCTTTCTGGTGTGTCATAAAGGCTTAATAAATACAAATGAAGATTCTGATGCTGACGAATATGTAGGGGAGATGCCTAGAGGAGTATGTGGCATTTCCTGCACTACCAGTGATGCCCTCTAGAAGGAAGCAGGAACCAAAGAAGAGGGCCCTTGGGTTGTCCCCAGTGGGCTGTGAACTTCAGGTTTCTAGTGACCCCACTGCACTTTGATTACAGGAAGAAAGATCAATGAGGTAGAACAGGAAGGCGCTGGTGGGTGGGTGAGTAGGGGGGCATGGGGTGGAGACTGGGACCCAGAGAGAAACAGTGAGGTTAAAGCAAATGAGGGATGGTGATTGCTTCTTGTAGCAAAATGAATGAGTGTCCAGGAGTGGTGGAGACATACCTTTTAGTACAGAAAAACGATCACCTCTTGCCCTAGGTCTAAACTGTGAGCCCCACTCACCTGCAGCTGGCAGAGTGGATAGAAGAGAAGGCTCTCTGTGATGTCACAGAGCTGGGAACCAGGGAATGTTGGACCACAACAGTGAGGAGGAGGGAGCAGTTCTGCTGACCAGGATGCCACACTGTCTGTCCACTGGATCACCAGTCCTGGAGCCTCAGGAAGCACCTAGAGAATGGCCAGAAGGGGGCAGTACAGCGCTGGACACTGTAGATCTGGGTGCCATTCTGTCTTTGTCCGCCCACTGGGTAGTAACCTTAGGCAAAGGGACTTCACACGTGGGTTTTCCTTCTGCAATATGGGAATGATAACAATTTTTTTCTTTTTTGAGACAGAGTCTCACTCTGTCACCTAGGCTGGAGTGCAGTGGTGTGATCTTGGCTCACTGCAGCCTCCACCTCCTGGGTTCAAGTGATTCTTCTGCCTCAGCCTCCCCAGTAGCTGGGACTACAAGCATGCACCATCACGCCTGGCTAATTTTTGTATTTTAATAGGAACGGGTCTTCACCATGTTGGCCAGACTGGTCTCAAACTCCTGACCTCAAGTGATCCCCCTATCTCAACCTCCCAAAGTGCTGGGATTATAGGCATGGCCTGTGCCTGGCCAGGAATAATAATTATATGTCCTGTATAAATTTTTTAAGTATTAAATGAAATCAGGTAAACATTTAACATGGTGCCCAGATGTAGTGAGCATTCCAAGAGAGGGTAGGTATTAATAACATATGCAAAAATAAAGTGATATTTTCTTCCCATTTTATCTTTTAGAAAAGAGGGAATTGCTTGGTATTGGAGCCCTGACAAAATCTCTCACCTTATGTGGCACTCTCTCCATTCCCTTATTTAGGACAAACAAGTACTATTAGTATTTGGGGAAGCCTCATTGGGTTAACATGTTCTCAATCACTGCTGATAACTTGATGCATATAGAGGTCACTGGATACAATAGAAACAGAAGAAAGCAAAGGAATTCAGCACAGCTGTGGGGCCATTCAGGTGACAGGGAAGGGTGATGTCACCTTATCATCCTAAATATTTGATGGTGAGTTAAACAAAGCCCACAGGTAAAGTCACACTCAAATGGTAATTGAAGGCTCTCCGTTTTGGCTGCAAGTGAGATTTACTTGAAGTGTTTTTAAAACAAAGAATACCTGGGGTCTAACCCCAGATAAATTACAATTTTGACAGGGTGTGGAAACTGGGCAGCAGTATGCTTGCAAAGGCTTCCAGGTGATTCTTGTGTATAATCAAGAACTACTAAATTCACTTGGGGGAATTAGGTAAGTGGCGGTTCTCACCTTGGGCTGTATATTAGAATCATGGGAGGAGCTTTAGAAAATGCCACTCTTAGCACCAGCTCCAGCTCAGTAAAATCACTATGCTGAGGAAAAGGCCCAGGTATCAATAGATTTTATAGCATCCCAGTTGATTTTAATTTGCAGCCAGCATTAAGAATTGCTGATTTATAGAGCCCCTCCCCTTTTTTAAAAATCATCAGTTTTACTGATGTGATACACATGGACCCTTTGTAGCTTGGGATGAGCTTTTCAGGAAAAGCATTATTTATATACAGATTCAAAAACATTATTTAAAAAATAACTTAGAAATGAAGATAATATATTCTGGAAACCTGTGCTAGATGAGGTTAAAGATGCGTATGAAGCATTTGAATGGAATTGTTTTAGAAAGTGAAAGATTGAGGGTCATGATATAGTTTGGCTGTGTCCCTACCCAAATCACATCTGGATTTGTAATCCAAATTGTAATCCCCACGTGTAGGAGGAGGGACCTGGTGGGAGGTCATTGAACCATGGGGGTGTTTCCCCCATGCTATTCTCTCAATAGCAAGTGAGTTCTCACGAGATCTGATGGTTTTATAAGAGGCAGTTTCTCCTCTTCTCTCTCACCTGTTGCCATGTGAGATGTGTCTGCTTACCCTTCTGCCATGATTGTGAGTTTCCTGAGGCTTCCCCAGCCATGCAGAACTGTGAGTCAATTAAACCTTTTACTTATAAATTACTTGGTCTCAGGTATTTCTTTGCGGTGTGTAAAAATAGATTGATACAGATAGTAACACAGGTATTTCCAAATTAATGTTTTGATATAATATGCTCTGGCAAACACATAGCAGGTACTGAATACTTGTAAGTTGGTACTTGATTATTTCACCCATAGCACCAAATGTTTATGAATTCAAACTGGAGACAATAGTTAAAATCTTTGCATCAAGGAACTGGGGACTTGCCTTCTGTTTGGGGTGGTTTACCATTCAAGCATGTATGGAGTGATTACTTTCTTCCCCTTGGGTCTGGGAGGGGAGATGGGCCAACAGGCTTCTGTATTAATTTCTGGTTCAGGTAGCGAATAATCAAATCTCAACCTGATGCATTGGGCTAAGACAAGTGGGTGGATTTTTAGTCTGGTGATTTCACAGTGCATGTGTTCTGGGGTCTGAGTACCTGGGTGGGAAGCTTGCCCTCTTAACGCATAACTTTGGCCATAGCCATTAACTTCTGTAATTCTCAGTTTCCTTAACTTTAAAATAGAAATAATAATAGAGCTGGTGTGAGGAGTAAATTAGACCAGCCATGGAAAACTGTAAATGTAGTACCTGGTAGAGAGGCAGCACTCAATAAATGTTGCTTATTATTATTATCTGGTGTTGAGAGTGAAGCATTAGCTTTCACACCCGTGGATGGGAAATTAGGGAATTCAATGAGGTTTTTCAAAATCTCTATTTTGCTTTTTATTATTTTTATTTTTATTATTTTTTTTTTGACAGTCTCTGTTGCCTAGGCTGGAGTGCAGTGGCATGCACTCAGCTCAATGCAGTCTTGACCTCTTGTGCTCAAGCCATCCTCCCACTTCAGATTACCCACCTCAGCCTCCTGAGTAGCTGGAACCAGAGGCGCACATCAGCACGCCAGGCTAAGTTTTAAATTTTGTAGAGACAGGATCTTGCCATGTTGCCTAGGCTGTTCTCAAACTCCTGTGCTCAAGCAATCTTCCCACCTCTGCCTCCCAAAGTGGTAGGATTACAGGTTGAGCTACTGTGTCTGGCCCAAAACTTGATTTTGAAATAAGTACAAATTCACAACACATTACAGAGGTAACTGTAACTTTCTCTCTGCGAAGAGAAACAAAGAGGTAACTTTGTAACTTTCTCTCTGCAGAGCGGTTCCATGAACACATCCCCCAGCCTCCTCGGTGTTAACATCTTGCCTCATTATACTGTAAGATCAAAATCAGAAAATTAACATTTATAGACCTTATTCAAAGTTCAATCGTTATTCAGGTACTTGTGTGTGTGTGTGTGTGTTGCATGAAATTTTATTACATGTGTAGCTTTGTGTAACTACCACCACAATCAAGATACTTAACTGTGCCATCACCACAAAGTTCCTTTCTGCTTCCTCTTTATGGCCACACCCACCCCCTCTCCCCAACATCTCTAACCCCTGGAAACCACTAACCTGTTCTGCATTCTATAATTATGTCATTTCACGAATATTACATAAATGGAAGCATGCAGTATGTATGTATCTTTTTGAAGTTGGCTTTTCTCAGTCAGCACAACTTCCTTGAGGTTCATATACATGACAAACATGTATCAACAGTTGGCTCCTTTTTATTGCTGTATAGCAATCCGTAGCAATGCCTGTACCAAAGATTTTTTTTTTCCATTCGCCCATTGAAAGATATTTGCATAATTTGTAGTTTTTTGGCTATTTGAAATAAAGCTACTGGGAACATTTGTGTACTAGTTTCTGGTGAAAATGTGTTTTCATTTCTGTGTGATAAATGCCCAATTGACTTGCTGGATTGTATGCTCAATCCATTTTTAGTTTTAAAAGAAACTGCCATATTATTTTCCAGTTACTGTAGCATTTTACATTTCCATGAACAATGTATGAATAATCACACTTCTCTGAATTCTCTCCAGCGTTTTTTCCCACTATTTTTTACTTTAGTCATTCTTCTATTTTGCGCCCAGGAGGTTGAGGTGGCATTGAGCCATGATCATACCCCTGTGCTCCAGCCTGGGTGACAGAGCAAGACCCTGTCTCAAAGAAAAAGAAAAAAAAAAAAAATTCACCATATGGGTATATCACATTTTGTTTATTCATTCATCTGTTGACAAATGTTTAGGTTGTTTTCACATTTTGCTCTATGAATAATGCTGTAAATATTTGTGTGCAAGTTTTTGCGTGGTTCCATATTTTTATTTCTCTTGACTATATAGAAGTGAAATTGCTAAGTCATATGATAATTCTATGTTTAACATTTTGAGGAATTGCCAAACTGTTTCCAAAGCTGCTGCACCGTTCTGCGATGCTGCCAGCAATGTGTGAAGGTTCCAGTGTTTTCATATCCTTGATTACACGTTTTATTCTCTGGTTTTTAAATTTCAGCCTGGTGTGTTTCAAATGCTATCTCATTGTGGTTTTGATTTGTATTTTCCTAATGACTAATGAATGATGTTGAGCATCGTTTTGTGTATGTATTGACCATTTTCATATCTTGTGTAGAGAACTGTTTATTCAAATATTTTGCCCTTTAAGAAGTTGAGTGACTCCCTTTTTTGTCCTTTCATTTACCTAATTTTAGCCGAGCACTGCCTCCTCAGTAATGCCTCCAGACAGTTGCTGAAGTCCCTCACAATAAAAGGAGAATGACAGGCAGGCTCCAAGTCTTTGGCAGGTGGTGGCATCAGGCTAGAATTTAAGCTTGTTGTTTTGTTTTTGTGTTGATCTTTTTTGTTTATGGTACTGATATGTACCTTTGTTTTAATGTAAAAGAATAAAATGGGTTAAAGACAAATATTAATGAAATAAGAGTAGAGGTAATAGAGTCACAGTGATGTGTGCATAGATGGGGTTTAGAAAACACTCTTTTGAGGTACGTCATTGTGTTAGGGTACTCCAGAAAAACCACTAGGATCTTGCTTTCCTCTCTCCCTCTCTCTCTCTCTCTCTCTCTCTCTCCATCAGTCTCTCCCTCTCGGTCTC